TTTGTTTGTTTTGTTCTTGTTGTTTTCCTTTGTTGTTGTTTATGGTGTGAATAGCAGCTCAGTCATATGGCTGCAGACTGACAGCGGACAGGACCGACACACAGCAGCAGCAGCAGCAGCAGCAGCACCTCTGTAGTCCGCTCTCCGTGCGCCCCGGGATGTGCCGAGCATCCGGACTGTCTCCTGCTTCTTATGAGGAGGAGAGTCACCACCGGCTCCCAGTGCGCGCTCCCGAGTGCGCGTCCGTGTCAGGGGCTAACTGGCTGCTTGTGTCTCGTCCCAGCAAGTGAGACAGGGAGGAAGGTAGTTTGTGCTGGTATTCCTGTTGTATTGGTACATTGTATCAGTGTTTTATGTCACTTTTCTGGAGGGAGAGACCGAGATAACAGAGGCTGAGAGATATCCGAAAGTGAGCCATCAATAGTGTTCCACATCCTGTCAAAAGATGTTCACATCAGACATCCTCAGTATCTGAATGTCCAACATGTCCTCAACTGGACCCAAAACTACAAAAACATGTTTATCCCTCAATAATTTGCTCCAAAAAGGTTTTTAGTTACTATTAATGTAATTTTAGGAGTTTACCAAAGACTTGTTCAAAACCTGGTGCTGACATTACCATTATTTAGACTATAGTTATATATATCCATATGATATACTGTATTTGAAATATGATCAATAAAAAAGATTTGTGCTAATAGGGGCCAATGAGTGAGTTATGCTAGAAACTAATGAGTTATACTAGTAGTGGCTAAAGGATGAGTTAAGCAGAGAACAGCTACAGACCTCTCATGAATTCACTTTCTAACTCCACACCCCCGTTTCATTTTCACATTTATCACATTTTTCGTGGCTCCCTCTAAATGGCGTGATACAACTTTGTATACTCTGATGTGTAAAATAAGTGGAGTTCCCCTTTAATGCTACACCATATGCTGAAATTTTAGATGAGCCCGTGGTTCAGATCTCGTGGCAGCAGTCGGAGGAAGCCTCTTAACTTTTTCAACAATGAAGGATTCGATGAATGAAGGTCTGGATGCTGTTTCAAGCTCCTCATACTACCTGGAGGAAAATGCAAATTCTCAATGTAGCTATGGCCCTGAAACCTTTGGGATGAACTGGGACGCCAGATCACCCAATATCAGAGCTCTTGTGGCTGAATGGGAGCAAATCCCTGCAGCCAGGTTCCAACATCAAACACAGGAGGAGAGTCTTCCCAGAGGAGTGGAGGATGAGCAGATTAATGCTTTAAAATGAGATGTTCCACAATCACATGCATGGGTGACCACATACTTTTGGCCGTGCACTGTGTCTCTGAACTGAAAGGGTTTCATTTGTAAATCGTGCATTGATCTTTAGTCGTGTTTATTCCTCAATGTATGCCAAAATAGACAACTGCTCCCTTTTTTTTTTTTTTTTTTGTAAATCGCCCAAAAAACACCTTCAATAACATCCAGTAGTCAGCTTCCTCTGCGGTGAAACCCTGGTACTGCATTTAGTTCTGTCTTGATCTTACAAACTCAATTAAAGGCGCAGCACCAGCGAGACTACATTCTAAATCTACACTATGAGCCCGTTGTGTGTCAAAAGATTTAACGCTGTACGTTTGCAGAATGATTTGTGCATGAATCACTTCAGGGAATCGGTTGACATTTAGAATTTTTGTCTCTTATTTTATGTTTTGTTGTGTTCGGCTTGAAAGAAATTGCTTGTTAGCATTATTGAACCCAGTGAACAAGCTTTATACTAATTTGGTTTGAATACAAACAATGCTGACAAGCCACTTAGTGTGAGTGCAACATGGAGTCTGCTGAAGGAAGATAACAGACTAAAAACTATAATGCCTTTGGAAATGTGTATTGAGTGCTCAAACATCTTGCATTGTAAAAGCTCCAGTATTGGCCCACTGCACATGCACACTGTGAATTTGTTACATATAATACGTTTCATTATGTATCCACATTGTGTTCATTGGATAAAGAACTTCTAAGGAAGCACACTGACCCTACAGTAAGTATTTCTGGCACTTATTAAAATACTTTTTTTTGTAGCTTCCATCTCAAGTTGATATTTCCATGTATTGCTTCATGCTTTCACTCAGTGTCAGGCAGATTTGAGCAAGATATCAGCGGCTCTGTGAAGAACAAGATGGCGTTTGAATGGGACCCCTGTAGCTCCAGTGTGCCTCCTACGAGACTGGAAAAAAGTTTTTTCAGAGATCATGATGGGGAGTCAATGTCAGTGGCACACATGCTGGAATCAAACAAACGTATTCTCGCAGGTCTGCAGCATTGCCTCGAATGAAGAGTAGCTGCAGGTAATCTGGAAATGCAGATAAGTGGAGTTTGTTGCAATAGATCAGTGATTCCCACGAAGGGCTACGTGGTAACATTGTGGAGCAGTTCAGCGTATCCATGTATTTCAGTTTGGGAGAAGAATAAACAACAGGATTACAAACTGGTGTAAGGCTTATTTATAATGCCTTAAACTCAACCTGCCTTTATTTGGAACAGGCCTTTAAATTCCTTTTGCACAAAAACTCTTCCTCAGCAAATACGGGAAATACTATCAAATAGTTTATTGGTTTGTTCAGATCTCCCTCAAGCGGGCGACCCGGTGGGCTTTAGGAGGTTTTTATACATCCACAGAATTTCTATAAAATCCAGGCGTGTAATTGAGACCTGAGTTTATTTGTCAAAACGTGTAGCCACATCACGGTTACTAAAGGGGACCTGTGTCTAATTGGGATTCTGCTTTTATTTGAAGTTTTATGGTAAATTAACCACTACTGTAGTAACTACACAGCCACAATAGGTTGACTGCACAGTATCCTCCCACCAACCTCAATCCAATAAAATGTAACTAAGTACAAACACTTTTAGTCTTTTCTTTTCATGCCACTTTCTATTTCTACTCCACTACATCTCAAAGATTGTGGTAGTATTGTACTTTTATATTTCACTACAGTTATTTGGCTGCTTAAGTTACGAGTTATACATTTTTTAATAAAGATTTTTGCATACAAAACATTCAAAGAGCTTATAAAGTAAGATGTTGTTATAAATTAAACTACACAACATTTTATTCAAGGACAGCTGAAATTATGAGTCGATTAATTCATAGAAAAGCTACTTTGATAATCATTTTTCATGCAAAAACATTTCATGGTTCCAGTTTCACAGATGTGAAGATTTGCTACTGTTCATGGTGTCTCACCTGGTAGAGCGGGCACCCCATGTAGAGCAGCGGACCGGGTTAAATTCTGACCTGTGGCCCTTTGCTGTCATCCCCCCTGCCCCTCCCCCTCTCTCCTCACGTTCCCGTCTATCTTCACCTCTCCTATCAAAAACAAAAGCCTGAAAAGCTGTCTTTAAAAAAAAAAAACAAACTGCTATTACTATTGGTGGGACAAAACAAGCATTGTGAAGGTGTTACTTTGGGCTCTGGGAAATTATGACACCATTTATCACTATTTCTACAAACCAAACAATCGATTAATGGAGAAAATCCATAATGAACATAATCAATAGTTTAATAAACAATTAGCTCCACCTCAACCAGCTTCAACAGTAAAATCCTGCTTTTACATTAATGGATGAGTAATAATAACCCTGATGATATAATATGTAATAGTAGAACAGTCACAGGACATTTGTCAGCATGTAGTACTTTTACACTTAATAATTAATTATACTTATAATTTTGCATTATGAATCCGCTATAACACCCGCTGAGATTGAGAGTGCATGAAAATTATTGATCAGAGAAATAGAAATACTTGACTAAAAGTAATGAATAATGCTGGAACATGCAGTAAGTGGTAGAAGCATGAATGCAAACTTTATAAAAACTGCTAAAAAAAATGTAGAGACCAACAATTAAAGGATTGCTGTGTGTATAATTGATAACACGATCCATTTTATAATGTTAAATAACATCAGGTATGTCAGACAAGAAGGCTGGGAACAACTGCAAAAGATATTACTGTAAGAGCTGGAGGAATGTGGACTATTTGAAGACCAATTTCAGATTTGCAAATATTAATGCAAGGAAAAAGTTATTACAAATTACCCAGGAGACACAAGAGGAAATTACTGTATTTACACGCATCTAAAACACTTTGATACACAAAGTACCGCACTGTATTTTTAAGGCCACATGACCAATCAAATTGATGTTATTGTTACTCAGAATTCACAAAAGGTTCAGCCACAGTGTGTTGAATTCAAAGCTCAGGAAAAAATGTCTTTTGAACTCACTGTTTACTGTAACTACAGTAATTAGTGTTATGCAAACAGTATCAGTCAATGCTGCACTGTTTTCTCAAGGCCTGTGGAATCAGTGTGTTATGAGCCTTGCCTGTAATTAGAAAGTTATACAGTGAAAATCCAGCAATAAATGGTTTGTCCCTCTGCAGCTGCAGAAACAAGTCTATTGAAACTAACTTGGTAAACCTGGTGCCGTGCTCGGTGTTTTCAAAGGGAAATATTTGTGCAGTGTCGGTATGGATCTGAAATTCATGTGCAGCAACCTAGAGTTCTGGTTCACCTGCAAAATATCACAGACAGAGACGCCAACTGGTTTGTAATCGTTTTCTATGTGGGTGTCATACTCTCGTGAAAGCGGGGAGTGTCCACGAGTGTACTGAAGGGAAACCCACATTGGATCTTATACAGAAAGAAACACAAAAACAAAACCAGAGCAGACCTTACATACGTTACACGTAGATGTCACTAAATCCACAAGGGTGTCTTGCAGAACTGGTGTGTGTGTGTGTTTTGGCAGTCAGAGTGATGAGCGAGAGGAAAAGCAGGAGGACCCCCTGCCAGGCGTCCTCATGCATTATCAACCCACAGCTCCCCAGCAGGCATCAACCACCACATACCACGGTGTCGAGCTTTTATACCGCCAGGGGCAGGTTTGGTTTTTTTTAATATGGGGCAACTTTCAACTTTCCCTGTTGCTCTATGAGAAATGAAAACACACACACAAAAAAGGAATAAAATAAGGGTTTTTACCATTTAATTAAAATTGATTGTCAGGAGAATAACACACAAAATTGTGCTTGGTGTGCTTAACAGAAGTGATGCAAATGAATTTTATATATATATATATATATATATATATATATATAATAATACATATATATGTATATGTGTATACACACACAGACTTGTATATCACATGTATGTACAAATGACAAATACAATATTGCAATGTGAGTCCACATGTCAAGCAACTGCACCTTTGGGGAACACTTTCACTCCCAAGGCTTTTTAAAATCCGATCCCTTGAACTCAGATATTTACGATGAAGTCACCAATACAGTCAGCCACTTCACAATCACACAGTGTTTGATGTTCGTTACAACTAGGTGCTGCAGTATTATTGCCTTTTGATTTAGGGATACAGCTTGTACTTGAACATGCCAGTTAATTACAGTGAATCTCTGGACTCATGCCACGGCCAGCTCAGTGACAAAAAGTTCCAAGTGAAGCTTTGATCAGAGACAGTTAGAATATTCAACCTGAAATATGCAGTGTTAATTTTTGACACCAAGCACCTTGGGAAAGATTTGAGAAATCATAAAAACCTACGTCACAGTAGAATACTGCCACCTTGTGGAGGAACACAACTGAATCTCTTTGTGATAAAGTGCTGCTTCTCCCACTGATCAAACATTTTCCCTGATGCCACTTTAACAGCTACACAAGTGACAGTGACAATGATTCATTTCTTCATCTCAATTCATTCACTGGCAGTAATAAAACACAGGAGATCCATGGATTCTTCCTAGTCTATGGCGTGAGATTGCTGGGAAACAAAAGCAGATATTTCCTTTAACAAGAAGTAAAAGCAGTCTACGTGAATGACGCTTTTATCACATCAGCCTCAAGGCACATTAAATACACTTTATGTAAAAAGTGTTACCGCTGAAAGCTGTAATTACTGCTGCAGCTCTCACTCTCTGACACACAAACACACTCCAGAAGAGAATCACATTTGCCCATAAGGGTGCTCAGTGTGGTGTGTTGGCAGAATGTCAATGACTGATAAAATATTTTAAAAATAAAGGTTTCATTCATTTCATTTGTCTTAACAGTCTGTAAAGTTTACTGAACACAGCCAGTGACTTCACATGACAACAAACTCCAGCTGAAGGAGATCAGTAATGATGGTTGCAAACGATAAGGGATTGTACAGGATGTTGGACAGAGACCTGCAAGAAAGCAGTGTAAACCATGAAACCAGCACTAAAATCAACAATATTTCAGAATTAAATGTAAAAGCTTCCTGTTAAAGGGCAACTTTGGTATATTTTGAGACTATTTTCCCATGTTTTTGTGAGAGTGATTAAAAAATGTATGAAATTGGTCCAGTATTGAGTGAGAGGGCTGCAGCCAGCAGAAGGAAAACAAATGTCCACTACAAGTCCTTGTTTTTGCCACTGACACACTCAGATTGTTATTACTGTCTGACAACCTTATGGGAAGCATCCCTACAGAGATACACCTTTTTATAAAAGAGCAAGATCCTTTTTGTTTAACCAGAAACAGCAATTATATTACTCTGTTCAAAGCCACCAGACTCCATTGACAAAAACAGTAATTTTTACTTGCAGATTATCGTGAGACTTCATTTGAAATCAACAGAAATTAAGAACTCACTAAAACCATCCTTCCACTGTTCCAACAATCAACAACTCTGGTTTGGTCGAAATAAATCCTTAATTCAACGAGTTAGATGTGAAAATATCGGGAGATGGACAAGAGGGCATCAGAGAGGCAACGGGGAGAAACAGTGTGTAGAGCCAGAATATTTTCACATCTAACTCAATACATTTTTAAAAACGTTGTCCCCATAAGTCACACAGACACAAAAACATGGGAAAATAAGGTCCAGGTTAAAAAATACCAAAGTTACCTTTTAATGATCACCTTTAAAACCCACCTACATTTTACAATCAGCTTTCCAATCACTCATTCACTTGGTGGCAGTATCATCATCATCCTTACATTCAGAGCTACAGCTTATCCATTCTGGCTGCTCGACTTCGGCGTTCTGTCCTGCTCAAACACGAGCTTGTGTTGGGCTCATAAGGGCGACAGCGCTGCAGAGTGCTGGCTGGGTTTTCCGGCCGGTACCTCGTACTTGAAGACCACGCTGAACAGCTTTCCTCCCAGTCGGTCGGCCAGCCACGAGTTCTTAATGACGGCCATCTTGAGGCTCTCGCAGCTGAGCATGGCGTAGTAGTTGGTGTGAATGGCTCGGCCCATTCCCTCGATGATCACCAGGTCAGTTTGCCGCTCCCGCACGACCATCGCTAGCACCTTGTCCAGGCGGCTGGGGAGTGGCAGAGAATAAAACATGTTAACATTTCTGATACGCTAAACTGATGATGATAATACAGTCTAATCTAATAACAATGTAATGAATTCTTCTCCAGGTGCTTCTGGCTATTGAAAGAGTAACTCTTTAGTGTGGGAAATTGCATCTGTGAAAGACAAAGTGTAATTTTCAACAATAAAGAACAGAAAATAATAAAGCTGTGTCATTATATTAATCTGTATTCTGATTAACACTATTCGTGCTTCAGATGTGCTTTCTATGAATCTGCAGATATTATTCAACTGTTTTCCCAGAGTAAATAGTATTCCAGTAACCAACCTCAGATCCAGGCAGGGTGAACTGGAACCACTCTGGACCAACATCAATCTGTCCTCCCTCAGACCAGCCCTACAAAACACACAGATCACATTTTAAGAGCTTCCGTAGTTGTTTTAAAAAGCTTTTTAGGTGTGAAATCACAAGATCAGACAAGTTACTCAGGAAAGAAAATAAGATGATAATGTAAACAGTTTATTCTCATTGGTTTGTCTTGTCTATTTTTAAAAACAATAATAAAAACTAACTGAATCACTGGATCCATGGCGGCGATTCTTTCTGTCAGTATTTGCAGTTCACCATTCGTGACGTCATTCAAAGCCGGACCAGAGTTGCTTGCCAACACAACCTAAAGGTAGACGGATAGAAGAGTTGCATTAACCTTTTATCAACTATATTTTTGAAATGATGTTGTTAAGAGTTCCTTACCTCTGTTCCTCGAGAGAGAAGCTCTCTGACAAAAGGCATCACCCCTAGAATGATGTCTACTCCACTATTATCTACGAAAAACAAGGCACACTTATGAGGAGGACCCTGCAAGAGAAAACCAGGATGGATTGTATTCAAGCACTAATCATCAAGAGCACATATCACAGAAACGCTGTCGCAAGTATTTGAAATATTACTAATGAGTGCGAAAAAGCTGTGTTTCCTCTTTGTGCTTAATTGGGACATAGCTGTGCTGCCACTGTCTGAGTTATGTGTGTGTCCTTCTGAGGTCATCTGTGCTAAACAGTGTGTGTGTGTGTGTGTGTGCGTGTGTGTGTGTGTGTGTGTACTCATGGTACTGTCAAATTCTCATGTCCCATCAATAATGCTTCTGTACAATGAACAACTTGGATTTGAAATGAAAAAGCAGAGAAAGAGCCTGACCTTCAGTCTCTCAAACCACTGGTCATAGGAGTCAACAAGCCACGGCCGCTCTGAAAAAAATAATGAATAAAAAAATCACTCTGGGCGCCAAGAGACACTCTCAAAGTCTCTCCGTTTTCTCTTTAGCTATTATTTCTCAAAAAGACATCAAATGTCAAATGGTTTCACAACCAAACTGTCGAAAAATAAAGAAGCGAAAGAGAAGAGAAATACATGGCTACCTTCCAACTGTCGTTTAGCCTCCTCAAACCCAAACTCAGGATCAGACTCGAGGACACTGTATCACATTAAAACAAAAACAAGCAAAAGTAAGAACACCAAACTTTTCAGACACTGAGTTTGAAACTAAAGTGTACCAGCCACTGCAGCCTAGCCTGTAGATAAAAAGCTTATGTCTGCTCTCAAATCAACCATTATCAATTCATTTCTTAAAGGAGAAACTCTGGCCAAGAATACGAGGCCATAGCTGACCTCAGAAAACAAGATTACTGTGAGAGACTTACTTAAAGTTTCAAAGGGCAACAGAAATTTTAAAAAGTCTTAAAGGATCATTGGGCTGCCATTCGATTCTTTGTAGGGATGCGTGGCATGCAGCCCTTAGGTACTTTCATGGATTTTTCATTCTGTTTACTTTCAATCCATGCTTCAAACTGTGTTAGGGTAGGGTATCTAACGTATCAAAACAATGTAATATTGCCAAACATACTACCACAGCAGTGAAAAACATCCCGTTTACAGCAACCAGAGTCTCTTCGACTGCCCACAATCAGACAGAACAGTGCAACCAATCAACCCGGATGCTCACAGGATATAAAAGCCATTAACTCCACTCACTCCGACACGGCTTTGGCTCCCCAGTCGAAGACATTCCCAGCCAGGACGCCCCTGACCAGGGCAAACTGTCTCTGCTCCCAGCTCAACTCCTCCAGGGACTTCACTGCCTTCTGGTAATACTTGAGTGCCATGTCATTCTCCTTCTGCTTAATCTACAACAAAACAGAAATATGAAACAGCTGGTTTCAACATGATACAAGATTGGTAGGAGCATGCAACATTCAACATATAACAAAAAGGAAATATGTGTTGAACATGAGAACATTTTAAAGATGATTAATGACCTAAATTATAGGCGTAATTATTGAGATCAAAATAAACTCTTGTCTTGTGTTACACCATGAGACTGTATGAAAACATAGTTGACATCAGCGAGAATCAAACCACCAAACTGTGTAGCACACGAAAAGAAGACAAAAAACAAAATAGTTTGATAGATTTCACTCAGACCTTAGAGTAGGGATCAGGAAAGTTGAACTCGTTTAAACAGTGTTCCCTCGTGTCTAACAGACTTCTGACAGTGAGGGATCCATAAGCACTAGGTGAGAAGAGAAGCACTCTACATTAGCCAGAGAGACAAACATACACACAACAGGGCTGGGGCGAATGCATACAGTAGTAGGTTTCACCGGCATTGACAGTGCTTGTTATGTGGATTGACATAGTGTTGTAAGCACTTTGTCAAACTGACCTTTTAAAAACCTTTTTAAAGACTTGCAGAACTAGTTTCTGAGAATCTGGCACATAGTAGTTTTGTTTTTTTGTCAAATTTTAGCAATAGCTTATATGTTCATAATTCTGTTATCATTATTCTGATAAATCTTTGACAGAATTACTGCAACATACTTATGCAATACCTCCGACTCCTAACAAATAAAACAGTGAACGCATTTAAGATTTCCCTTTTTCATGGACAAAGCACACGAGCAGTTACAGCAGGTATGAAGACATGAAACTAATGCAGACGCTGAAGAAAAGATACAAGGTTCAGTCTACTAATAGCAACCTCTGGGTCAAACTGAAAGGCCTTGCATGCAGAAACAAAAACAGTCCTTACAAAGGCTGTTGGCGGAGGGTCTGGAGCTTGTGTCTGTATTTCTGGCGGAACTTCTCGGCTCGCTGGGCTGCCTCTGGCATGTCAGGCTGGCTCGCAACAGCTCGCTTAACCACCTGCTCCCAAAAGACAAGAACAGTAATCAGCCATGTTCACAACCTCTGTGGAGCATAGGCACTGAGAGTGTGTGTGTGTGGGGGGGGAAATCCAACCAGTTCATCTAATATGAAAAGCTGACCTGTAAACACCAATGGGGCGACCATTTCTGGGCTTATTTTGTCCTAATATTGTCAAAGATAACTGGTTAAACTTAAATGATGCAACATGATATCATACTGTGATTTCTGTTCAGTGCAAAAACAACGTAGCTTATTGTTAGCCGTCTAAAATGTGATTCAGAATTGCGAAATTTTGGTAACGATAACAAAGAGCTTCTTTTGTTCATCTGTTCATAATAACACAAATCCATATGGGGAGGCAGACATATTAAAGTTTCGCCATCCACCAGAACTGCACTGGGGAGTTTTTCCCTCAAATATAAAGTCCAACATAACAAATACTGGATTTCAAATCATAAGCTGCCATTCTACCCCATCTAGGGCCTCTTCGAAGCAGTAGAGCCAGTATTCACGGGCCAGAGCGTCCTCTGTGAGGTCCATGGTGTCAGGGATGTAAGATGAAGGGTCCTGCAGCAGAGGCAGATTCACCAGCTGTCTCTCCAGACGGTCCATCTCCAACATGTCAAACTAGACACAACAAAGAGACAGAGAAGGCACTGTCAGACCGCTCAATGCTTCTTCCAGCCCCTCAAACGTCAAAGCCTGTTCCAGTTATCACTCTTCTAAACTTGTATTCTAGGATGTATTTCACAACCTTTCCCTCCAGCTTAGGAACACTGTGGTAGGTTTTCACTCATGTTAGTATTTTTTTATTTGTTAAGACAACAAAAAGCGGAGAGGAATAAAAAGGAGGGAGGGTTCTAGCGAGATTTAATAGTAAAAGCTGGAGGAAGCCAAAGGACTCATTACTTATAGTACGCAATCAATAGTCCATTAAAGGAAGTCAACTGATTATAAAAGAACATACTACATCAATACAATGTTTCTTGAGTGGTAAGTCCCCAAAGATGAACTAATATTTCAACTTGCATCACACATTGCCAGTTTGCACTAATGAAAACTAGTTAATAAAAGTTGCTAAAGAAGCAGGAAATTCAGTGGCGACAGTGGATTCCAGGGCAGCTAATGCTAACAGAGGTTAACAGCTCCTGATGCTCTATGGAGGCCTACATGCTCAAAGTATCACACCAACCAGAGTAAAATGGCTTTCAAAAACATCAAACACTGTTACTTTACATCGTCAAAGCATATGATTTGACTAGAATATAATTTAGTAAGGAACGAAACAGTAGCAATATATTTAGAAAAATCAAGGATAAGTTACAAAAACAAGCTCTCAGGTCTCTCTTGTCCTCGCACAAGTGAACAAAGTGAATGCCTGACATAACTAAATACTTGAGTGTTTACAGCGAGAGGACAAGGCGTCATCAAGTCAGGGCACACAAGTGAAGCAGACGGAGGTACTTACGGGAAACTGAAGGAGAGAGTTAGGTAGACAGAGGAATGTGTGGAGAGGAAACGAAAAGAAACATTATCCAAGATAAATGAACGTCTTTTATGATGGTCATGGATTCAGTAAGGACAGTGGTGATGGTATCACAAATTAAATGCAAAATAAAGCTCAAATATAGAAATGTCAGTAATTTGATGGAAGAAGGTGGATGAAATAAAGAAACAGTGAACCAGCAGAAGAGTGAAAATAGTTTGTAAGGTTTAAGTGGCCTCTTGTGGAACATGAGCCAAATTCAGGTCTATCTAATCACTCTTTGCTTCCTCTGCAGACTCACCGTTCCACTACGTGCACGTTGCATGGGATTCATATCTGGAGAAACGCTCATCAGGCCAGAACTCCCCGCATAATTCTCACCCCAACTGTACTGGTTTGGATCTAGAGGAGCACAAGATGTTGAATTACGAATATTTATGGTATAACATTTGAATTACGGTGATTTTTATTAGTATTTAAGGTTAGTATTTCAAAACATTTGGTGCAAAACAAATCAGCTAGCAGATTTTGACATTTGAAATACACCAGTTTTTAATTCCATTTAATCTTTATCTTTTATTAGTGCTCTAGCATTATTACCTACATCACTTCTATATTCTGCCCTTGCAGTTAGTTAAATGTGTTCATATGAAAGGCAGACCGAAAGGTTCAGTACTTTCACAACAGAGGTACAGGGATTTTATTCATACCTGATGTCAGTGAAAACATGCAAGAATCTGTCTCTGTAATACTACACTACAAGTTTCCAGTCAGCCCTAATGTGTGAGGGAGGACTTGCATGATCATGTGTGTGAAAAAGCCACATTGCTTTCAAAAGGATAAACTGCCAAATACCTCTCCTTCACAGTTATATGACATTAGCCCAATATTCATCAACATATACAGTAACCCTCATGATACCAAATTGAGGACGATAATGTGCATTTGTAGGCTTTTCCTTACTGTCCTCCTCTGCTCCTTTAAGAAATGCTCCAATGGCGCCGAGATAACCTTCATGTCTTAGAAACAAGGCCTGAACTTCACCCTACAACAGAACAAAATACGGTAATAACATAAAAATCTGAGATTGTAGTAGAAAAACTTCATGTTGAGCTGATAACAAACCAAATTCAGGACTAAACTGACATTTATCAGTGAGAATGAGATAAAAACAGACAATTGAGGCCTTGCCTTGGTGAAGAAGTTGATGCTGTAAGTGATTGTGTGCATGGTGACAGGGTGTCCTCTAATGAAGAAGCCTCCAAAGTAAACTCTGGACAGGTTGTGGAGCTTGGCGTACAGACAGGCCAGCTGCCCGATGTCGTTGCTGATCATATGGAGTAAACTCTTGGCCATGTCTTCTTTAGAGAACTCTACAATTCAGAACAGAGACATATAAACATACAGGCAAAACATCCACATCACACAACTAAAAACAGTGGCAATTATACAGTAGTTAGGAAGCTTTTTTTTTACTTCCTTCTGTTCAATGTCAGTGCAAAGTATAACAAAATGATATACGAGCATTGGGACCACAATTTGGTATCAGTATCAAATCCCCTTTTTTAAACACTAACTGTATAAACTACTCAATAATTGCTCAACAGCAGCAGACGGACACTAACGGGATTTGCTTTGATAATCCGGCAAAGCTGTGAACTTCTGCTGAGAGCTGCCACCCTACATTTCCTAACAGTTACACATACAGCACACAGAGAGGACAATGCTGTATCAGAACTGGGTGAGAGGTCATCAGTTCACTCCCAGGCTTGTACTAAAACTGGAAAATATTGCAGAGACACCACAAACAGAAATATGTGGTGGACTTTGTGGCATCCATTTAATTTGACTTACACTTAAAGGTAAACTCTTCACCTTGTAGCCTGTCAGCAGAGCAGTCAGCTTGGATTCACAGAGGTTATATTCCAATAGTGACGTGTGAGGATTTAAGTTTGGTAATGTGCCTTGCCAATTTATAAATCATGAATCCAGGCTGACTGCAGTTGCTGCCCTTAAAAGAAAGCAAATGTCCACATAAGGTGAGTGTTGGATACTCAAAAGATGGATGGGGCACTGCTTTTTCTTTTTAAGAGTAGTTTTTGTGATTTTTTTGCCTTTATTGGGCAGTGACAGTGAAGAGGCAGACAGGAGGGAGGGGGAGACGGAGGGGTATGACAGTCACCAAAGAGGCAAATTGGAAACCACGTGGCCTGTACCAAGGCACTCTGGATGGGGTACTGCTTAAATGTATTTTCTGGTCCAATAACTGCATATACAAGGCAAAAATATCATTCCTTCTTCCTCTTTTATCACACCAACGTGGATATATACATAACCCTACAGGGCAGCCACAAAAAAAAACCTTAATGTGGCCATGTGTCACCTTTGTCAGCAGTAGCAGACTTTCCAAAACTGCTCGCAATAAGATCTCCAGTCAAGCCCAAAGACCCGTAAGATCCTCCGTAGATATCTTTGACAAGCATATCGACACTTGTGTGCTGCCCTTTTGAAGCCAATTGTAGCAACTCATCAAATCTCTACAGGAAAAAAAAGGGTAAAGTTCACGAGGCTTAAGGCAACAAAATATTTCACTGAGAAGCCATATTTAATGACTTCTAAGTAACAGCTATTAAAGTCAGACAGTAAAGTTACTGAGGGTACCTTTGTTTTGGTGAGCAGGGCTCCAAGTCCCCAGAACGTCCCTCCACCTATTGAGCTCCCTCCTATTCGCTCAAATTTGTCCTCTGATTCAACCTGTTGAAGAGGGAGAGAATGGCCTTTTGTATGAAATATAGTGAGAGCAGAACAAATGTTTATCACCTGGAAAAACCTTCCACAATAAACACAAGATGTATTTTTGCTTGTTTAATTGGTCGGACAATGAATTGGGCCGATTATCTGGCATTTAGAGATAACCAGCATCGGTCGATGCCTGCGCTCACCAGGCTGATAAACCAAAAATGTTGGTTATGGTTATTTTGGAGCCCTGTACTATTACTACTCTAAATTTCCACAGTCACCATCATCTTTTCTAAATGTAAACAAACGTCTCCCATCGTGACAAATGACATCAAATCTAATCTAAACACGTTACTGGCTAGTGTTAGATATATAGTATGTTATAATGTATACAATAATGCAGTTGAATGACGTCTGACATACTTTATCCCGCTCTGCCTTAAATACCAGTCAGATTTTGAAAACTACAACATAAACCAATGTATTTTTCTATTTCATTAATTAATACCATTTCCATTTAAAACAACATGTTACTGGGTAAGATAATCATGTATATTAGATTGTAATGCGCATAGAATAATGGAATTATACATGATTTATCTTTGTTTTGGAACTGATAATATCGGCCATCAGCCGTCCTGCTCTCTATACATCGGCATCAGCATTTAAAAACCCATATCGGTCAACCACTACAATGAATCAACAAATCGTGTCAGCTCTCTTAAATTGTTTCACAGGGAAACCTACTTTCCTAAAGCACTAACAAGTCTGTCATTACCTTGACTATTGACACTCCAGAGCCGATGTTGACGAGCAGGTAAGGGAAGATGTCTGGTTGAGTCGTCTGAAAGCGGAACTCTGAGTCAGCGTGCTTGGCGTACACAAAAGCCTCGTGGGGTATGTTCCTTAGCACAAAGTTACAGCCCTTGATGAGGCAGGTCATCTCATCCTCTTTGTCCACTCTGCAACGCACAAAGAGTCCATTAGTTTGAATCATCCATATAGTCAGAGGAGAAGACTACCTACCTGTCCTCCGTCTGGTGAATCATTAAATATAATGTGCAGTCTCATTTCTGCAATGTTACTTGACATTTAAAATGTTCTAGGCAGAGAGTCACATAGGCAGGTTTTAGATGAATCACTGGAGCAAAATTTTATGGAAAAACTGAACAAAACACTTACATATGTCTCTAAACGCTAAAGGCCATATGGATGGAGACAATATGTGAATGCTCTGTTGCTTTCACCCAGTGTTTGTTTAGCCAGCAAAGCAAACAGGCACAGTTTGCAAGGCAGTAAACATTTTCCACACACAGTAATGAATGTTCATAATAAAGTGAAATCAATTCAAAGTCAATTCAAATCCATAAGGTTTGTTTTAACCCGCCAGATGTTTCTAGCAAAAATATTTGTAACTGATTTAATATATTATGCGGTTTTATTTTGTGTGAGATGAAAATGCTCTTTCATAATCGCTGGGCAGAGAGACACTTGGCCAAGTAATCAGCTAATTAAGGGAACCAGCACCCTTCTGTATCTTAACAATGCAGCACAATAGGAGTTTGCCTTTGCCCTGTGGCACACCATTCAAGTTTCAGTTCTGGTTCCTCCAAGGGAAAACCTTGGACATCCACTGCTCTAAACAATCAAATCCGTCCTCTTTCTCAACCTGATTCACGAGAGGAAAACAGGACATTGCTATGAATCAGTTACAGTAAGAGCATTGTTCATTACAACTCAGTCATCCAGAAAATGTCGGAAATGTCCCTTCCTTTCTGTTTGCTAGTATGTGCAGTATCTACAGTACAACGCTCTGCAGCATCGGACCAAAAACTAATACTCACTTGAGTCCGAGTTTCCTCTCAATGAGTTCTTTAAACTTGTGCGCCCCTCCACCTGTGGCTTTGATAACTTTGGTATCCGTGTTGACCAGATGGTCTTTGATGAAGTCCAAGCATGTTTCAATGTAAGCATTTTCAAACTTGATAAAGTGCAGGCGTGCAGTGACCTCTTCCTGCACAGATATTTCATAGAGCTTGTCACTGGCAGCCTCCTGAGACACAGATGGGACGGAGAGGAGAAAGAATACATCTTTACATCTACTTGTTGCAATATACACAATATATTATGTTACAATGCAGACTAACAGGATATATGACCCTAAGCTCCCTATTTACCTTTGTAGCGTGGTCGAAAGATCGGACTTTGGCCACTTTGTGCTGTACAGTTGAGTAGTAGGCAAGCTTTGTGAGAGATCCACCTGTTAAAGCAAAGCAGCATTGATAATGTCGTGTTAGACAGCAGAAGCTAAACAAACTGGATTAAGACTTAAAACTAAGGCTCAGTGAAACTGTAGCTGAGCTCAGACGCCAGCACCTTAACACATGCTAGTTAGTAGCTAACATCAACGCTGCTGTTACTCGTTAAAAGTTGGCCAGGTTGTTCGGCACACCTTCGCTGTGTCAGATAAAGATACGCCTCAAATCTCACCACACTTCCATCGTCACGGTAAAACAAGACTTTTGCTGTCAAAACACATTTTTTACAATAAAAATCAGACACGAAGTTCCGCGGCTAGCGTTAGCTTTGTCTTGTTTACTTTCTCTTAAAAGTCTAATGTTGTCATTGTACCAAGGCTGCGGCGGAGCTACAACATTAGCTACGGTCAAAGCTAAAGTGGCTGAAGAAATGAATACAACGTTTATATTCCCGGGTACCTATGTCTATCGCGAACCGCTTTGCGTTTTCCAAATTGCGGAATATTTCGTCGGGCGGAAGAGTAATGCTTTTATCCATGGTGTGACTACTTGTGCTGCTGTCAAGTCGAACACATTCCGCCATGGTGGACAATGATTTGACGCTGCGTGCGTAGCGTGCGTGGCGTGCGTAGCTTGCGTGCGCTCCGTCGTCCAATCAGCATCCACGTACTGTCTGCGCTGTGGGTGTTGTCCTGTGAACATTTCCGTACCACTATGAACGTTGTAAACACTTTTTATTTATTTATTTTTTTTAAAGATTTCTCATCATTTTTTCGACTTATTACAAGAGTGCATAGTTGTATTTTTTTTTTTTTTGCACGTCTACTCAAAACTGCAACAAGGGCTGGCTCAAATCAGTTTAAAAAGGAGTAAGAAACTGCAATGTTGTAGGTATTTGAGGTGTAATTGGTGCAGTTTATCAAAAAAGATGTTGAGGAAGCGATAGACTCAAAAATATGAGCTTTTTTAGATAGGAAAAATTAGGTGTTGGCTTCTAAAACAGGACTTGGTGGTCAAGTTATAACTATTTTAGCCACTACTCTCTTAGACAATCAATTTTTATTACATTATTGTCATATTGAATGGTTTTGATCATTTAGAATAATATTAACTTGTCAAACCCCTAACAAGCAGCAGCTCGTATTTATTTTTAATTTATACTGGAGATCCAAAAGTCTCCAAAAACATCAAATATGTCAATTTGGGGGAATCTGTATAATTGATGCACAATATACGCTAAATATTTCCATTTGATGATGGAATGGTGCAGCCAAACACATCTTGGGTTTAAATATTTCACCCAGTGAAAGACCATGACGTCTAAAAGAGTTGGAACAATCTGATACAGTTTATAATGTCAGACAGTGTGGATTAAGATGTTTTTAAAGCTACTAAAGGGGACACAAAAGACAAAAACTATATGTAAAGGGGTTGTATTTTAAAACTAGGTAATATATATATTCCCATGTGTTTCCTTTTGTTGTAGAGCATATACATAAAGTAACCAATAGAGGGTAGTGCTGAGCCATAATAGAAATATAAAGTGTCCTCATTGAATGATTCTACAATAGACTACAGAGCGATGGAGACAGTAACAGCCATGCAAATAACTACAATCCAGTACAATAGCCTTATAAATAATGTAATCCCAGCATTGCCATGGCGTTCAGATATGGTTGTTCATGGTTCATCTTGTAAAGAATGAAATTACACAGTGAAAGATTCAGTTGATGTTTTTTTATTCAAAATGAATGAATGGGTCACATCATAGAGGCACTAGTGGTGATGATGCATCACAGTAAATACTTGTAGTTTAAGACAGTGTACTCAAAAAGAGTAAAGTGAACAGCTTCAGTGTCCTTACAAAAGACAGGGAATAGTTTAGTAAAACCTGAACAAAGTGAACAAACTCTCTATAAGAGAACATAACTTTCAGATATATGTTTGTACTGTTGACACAACAAAACATGTTGATGATAGAACAGATGACGTCAAGACCCAACATGGGTCAATAATCTTTTACAAAGTAAAAAGTCGATTAAAGAAAAAGTGCTACCAGAAAGCAGCTGAGATTTCCCAATTCAAGTCACTAGATCAATCTTAAAACAGAAGACTTACACGACTTAAAGGCAGGTGTGATAAGTCTGGCCAATATTGGCCAATTTCGAATTATATTGATAAATCAATAAGATAATATATGTTATTCATAGAGTACAATTATGTGCTACTCAACATTTTCACAAAAAAGATTTAATTTTCTTTAAGAAAAATATATTCCCAAAAGTAAATGGAAATATCAGTCCAATATGACCCTGTGATGAATTAAAACACTTTGCACAGACACTTCTATAACATTTCAGAATAATATGTCTGATAATAACTTTTGACCAATGTGGTCATCTGAGTTTGTCTGGTAGTAACTCCAGAATGTAGGTGTCTACCACGGCCTCCAGAGGGCGCTGTGGACTGGACTCTTGTCTTTGGTGATGCTGGTCTGGACTGTGGAGCTCAGAAGAGAGAAATCAGCCTCTCTCAGGTTCTTATCAGAGGAAGGCTGCAGCTTGTTGAAGTGGTTCAGCAGTCTTCTCTGGGACTGTGTCTTCACCTGTTCCTTGGACAGGAAGTGTGTCACCTCTTGGACACACCTGGAGTAGCCCTGATCAACAGCTGCTGAGTCCACAGCTTGATGCTGCTGCTGCAGTCGTCTCAGGACACAAACTGTCATCTCCAGGATGTCTGCTTTCTCCAGCTTGGAGTCTGGCTGCTGTTTGAGGAACTCTGGACCCAGGAGAGACTTGAGTTGCTCAATGCTGCTGTTGATTCGCTCTCTGCGTAACTTTTCCACCAGAGGTTTTCTGAGCTGCAGAAAGAAGAAGAAAGTCATTAATAAACTTATTCTGGAACATAGTGTTAATATAAAACAAGATAACATCTCATTAACAATATTTAAATCTTCTTGAATCTTCAATTTACCTTGTGGGTCAGAGTCAGATGCTCCTGAGAATTGGTCATTGCTGCAGTGATTGTAGGTGCCATGGCTGGATCTCTGTGCTGTAGAGGTCTCTGTAGAGAGAATCTGATCTCTGCTGGCTTCATCCCTCCTATTTATAGTCCCACATCTCCATATGAATGTGTGGGTCTTGGTCTGACTAGAGTTTCTCACAGTCTCAGCCAATCAGAGAGCTTGATGACACAATAAGGCATGTGGAGCAGCAACACGCTGAATTGCCTCAGGGACAATTGTTAAATCTCGGGGGAACAGGTGGAGGGCTGGGGGGGTGATGGAGAGAGACTAACAGAGCTCTGTGTGAATCTGGGAAAGTGGTGACCCTGTAGAGAGCAGATCTGCTGTCTGATGCTGGGATCAATGACTTTGACTGAGCACACGCTCATCATCCCTTCACACACGTGGGAGACTGACTGGGTGATTGTCCTCAACATTAAAACACCCTCATTCCTTAAAGGTATTTGGTTGCATTTGTGCTGTTAAATCAAGTATCAGTCCTTGAGAAGTTAATTGTGTTCATAAAAACTGAAACGTCATGATTTTAAAACAAACATTTCAATGTTAAAGGCAACATATTGCATTGTTATGACTAGGTACCAAGGTTCTTTTGAGGTAAAATAAGCAAGCACAATCTTGAAAGTAATCACCATTGTGATTAGTTCACACAAGCTTAGTTCATATCATGTGATGAGATGATCACTAACTGTAAAGTCAGACTCATTCAGCTGAAAGGCGCCAAGATGAAACAGATGTGTCTTCTGTCTTCTGTCTAGTTGTTCCAGTGGGTAAAGCTAAAACATTAGTCAGGGTTTCCCACACTGAATCCTGGGAGCTGTTGTCAGTGCACTACAAAAGAAGTCTTACAGGTGACTATGTTGAGCGAAAGGGCAGAATCTGACGACACAAACTATCTGGAGGAAAACAATGACTGCAGTAGTAGAGTTTTAATGTCCAAAAGTGAAGGAGGATTTGAATGGAAAGTTGGTTACAGGTAGGTGATTAATAGTTCCAGGAATACCCAAAACCTATTTATGTTTTCAAAACACTCCAACAAGACTATCCTTGCTCTCCTTTGTCCGCTAGTTAACATCTAATTTAATTTCAATTTACATTCAATTTATTTATAAAAGTTTCCTAAAACACACGGAATAGACAAAGGTACATCTATGTCAAGACATGAAGCAAAACAAAAGTCTCGATAACCCTTGTTGTAACGGCGACGTTTCCCTGGTAGGTTGGCATGCATCAATAGAGTAAATATAAAGGCTTAGATTTAAATGATGACCCAATAAACAAGAGGGGAAATGAAGTTGGCCAGAGAGAGACAGACAGTGAAAGAAATTTAGAAAAAAAAGAGAATAAAGAGAGAAAAAATTCTTCCTCTGAAGTGTGCCAACTCCCCTCGGAGAACAGTCAGGTGCTGGTGGGGTTGAGGATGCTAATCACGCTGAAGTGTGACTCTGCCTCTCACGGCTTTCCCACACTCTGTCCATTGACAGAGCTCCCACTCAACAATAGACATGTGCCTTGTTAAATGCTAATTCATCCCCGCACAAGCAGCTCCCAGCTCTCCCCTGAGGGTAAAGTTTGTTGTTTAGGCACTCTCTTCAATTAGGAGACGAGAGCAGGAGAAATTAACCCAAATATTTTCACTGGGGATGTAATTATATTGAGCTTTAAACTATTTATTTTTGGCAACACTTGTTACACTTGTCAATTATTTAGCATTTATATGCAGTACATACACATTTCAGAGATGGTTTATAACACAATGTAATTTTAAGCTGATAAAAGCACATTTATAAGTGTTTTAAAGTTTTTGTCAATAATTACCTTTTCCTGTGAACTGTGTTTTACTATATTGTAATTAAATATCTGTTTATACACCAGCCTCCACTCATGGGTTATTAGCATCATTAACCCCGACCAGCACCTGACTCACAGGTAAAGTTAATACCAGCTACATCTGTCATTTATTATTATCTATTAATTATTTATGTTTATACTGCTTATAGAAACTAAATAGGGAGTTAAAGGAAAGTGTTACAGTATTTTATATAAAGGATCAAGGCTATGCATTTTGGTTTAAACAATGTGTTAAAATGTAAAAATGATAACTATAAAAATAGATAATTATAATACTGTAGTGCTATAGGTTAAATAAAACAATCAGTTTTCATAATTTCATTTCAAGAAAGAACAGGCCTCTAAATTAAACATTTCACAATATCAGAATCAGGAGGTTTTCATACACAAGGAATTTGCCTTGAAATATTGCTGCACAATAAACACAGTGCAAGAAAAATATAAAGATGAATTCAGACAGAAAGTCAATAATCATAAAAAGAAAAACATCGAACAACTAACACGAAAACATTTTGTGAAGACAATATGTACAATATGACCATTATTTTAAATGGAAGCTGTGCAGTTTGTGCAATAATGTACAGAAATATTGTCCAGGGAATAGTTAATTTTCAATTTCTTAAAATATATAAACACCACCAAACATACATATTGTCATGTTTAGTGAGTAAAAGATGAAAACCTTTAAAATTCAGTAGTAAAGCATTCCTCCTCCCCCCCTCACAGACGTCTTTGTCTGGTCTGCCTCTATTGTCCCTCTGGGGCTCTGTGAGTGAGTTTTCGCTGCTTTCCCACACTCGGTCCATTCACTGCTTTCAAGAACAAAGGAAGTGTGTCTGGTTGCACATCACATTAATTATGGAGTCAGTTTACGAGTTTTGTCTCACTGCCTCTGAATGGAAATTCCTGTCATCAAGACTCGTCATTACCAGACTTTTGTAAAATGTCTATGAGGAATGCAGACATGCTAAGGATTAATGAACATTCAAAAGCTCTTTTTTCTCCCTCCTTTACATTCAAATTGTTCCTCTGCATTCCACGCTGCTTATTTTGACGGGAAGCATGAAAGGGAGTCTATTCCTAAATTGATCAGGTGCTGGTTATGGTGCAATAGGATCTAATTTGAAGTAGCTGCAATCAGACTTTTTTTGAAACATAATCAAACCATCTTCATCCAGCTGTTATAAGAAGAAGATAAGAAGATTTATGTTTGAAAACTATTAAAATAGTTCCATTGTGTCTAGCTTAAAGTTTGGTATGACTATCACCTCAGCTGCAGATTCAGCAACATTACCAAAGCAACCACTTAAAAAAGAAACCAAACAAGCAAGAGCAATACTTTTTAATCAGTGGAGAGTTACAACAGAAATCTACGTATGTTAAGTTTTACAAAACAGAAAATGTAACATTTTTCATTATCAGTCTCTGACATGTGTGATGGGATGATGAGCGTGTGCTCAGTCAAAGTCATTGATCCCAGCATCAGACAGCAGATCTGCTCTCTACAGGGTCACCACTTTCCCAGATTCACACAGAGCTCTGTGAGTCTCTCTCCATCACCCCCCCAGCCCTCCACCTGTTCCCCCGAGATTTAACCATTGTCCCCCCGGGCAATAACAGCATTCACAGTGCTGCATCCTTTATTGTCTCACCTAGCTCTCTGATTGGCTGAGACTGTGAGAAACTCTAGCCAGACCAAGACCCACACATTCATATGGAGATGTGGGACTATAAATAGGAGGGATGAAGCCAGCAGAGATCAGATTCTCTCTACAGAGACCACTACAGCACAGAGATCCAGCCATGGCACCTACAATCACTGCAGCAATGACCAATTCTCAGGAGCATCTGACTCTGACCCACAAGGTAAATTGAAGATTCAAGAAGATTTAAGTATTGTTAATGAGATGTTATCTTGTTTTATATTAACATTATGATGCAGAATAAGTTTATTAATGACTTTCTTCTTCTTTCTGCAGCTCAGAAAACCTCTGGTGGAAAAGTTACGCAGAGAGCGAATCAACAGCAGCATTGAGCAACTCAAGTCTCTCCTGGATCCAGAGTTCCTCAAACAGCAGCCAGACTCCAAGCTGGAGAAAGCAGACATCCTGGAGATGACAGTTTGTGTCCTGAGACGACTGCAGCAGCAGCATCAAGCTGTGGACTCAGCAGCTGTTGATCAGGGCTACTCCAGGTGTGTCCAAGAGGTGACACACTTCCTGTCCAAGGAACAGGTGAAGACACAGTCCCAGAGAAGACTGCTGAGCCACTTCAACAAGCTGCAGTCTTCCTCTGATAAGAACCTGAGAGACGCTGACTTCTCTCTGCTGAGCTCCACAGTCCAGACCAGCATCACCAAGGACAAGAGTCCAGTCAACAGCGCCCTCTGGAGGCCGTGGTAGACATCCAAGGACAAAAGTGAATCTCAGGAGTGAAGCTCTGATGTTGAAAGATAAATTGTACTTGTACTCTTGGACTTTTAACCCAATTCTCATCATTGTGGTAGTCTTATTTTGAAGATGTATTGCTGTTACTGGAACTTTTTACTTTTATTGCCTTTTGTAAAGGTCAGAGGTCTGTGTTTCTGTGATATTTGCAGGTAACAGGTTGGCTACTATGTTGTATTTCAAAAATGGTCACTTATTTCTGATTTAGGTGTTACTCTGTGAAGTTATCATTATCGTTCCCAATGGGAATGCCTATATATTGTCAGTGACATTGACAATGATATCCATTTAGGAGACACAGCTAATCATGTTGAACATGTTTCAGATTTATATGTGATATTCACATATGCTGTTTGTATCTGTTTCTGATGTATCTTTTGTTATCTCACTTGTCTGCATTTTAGCAGGTTTATTTTTTGTATGAAAAAAAGAATCAAGACGAATGTGCTGCTTTATAACTCTGTGAGTGACAGCACTCATACCTTCAATGAAGGGAAGATGTGTCACAATGAATGTATCTCTTCAAGCCAAGTGATGCGCAATAAAACAATCACAAAAACAACAGAAAAGTTTGTTTATCTCAGTTTTATTACCTACTCATGTAGATTTCTGCACATTAAGCACCAATGAAGCTTTTCACAATGTATTTTAAAACAGGAGATAACATGGTGAGCATGTATATATAGCTGACAGATGCAACACTGAGCCAAATGAAGTCACTTTTTGGTAAAACTGACCACTCCTCACTTGGTCAGGGAGTGATTGGTGGGTGTTGTTCTTTGTTACACAGTAATTACACACCTTGAAAAGATAATATGGTGGATAATAATTCATATAAGATAGACACTCAGAGAACTGCTGGTTCAACCCTCCAGCTGTGAGCCTATGGTCTATATTACTTCTGTAATAAATGCAAAATGTGGTGTTAAATTACAGAGAAACCAACATTATTTGTCTCAGTAAAGTTTTGAGTGTTCACAAGCACCCAGAAAAGCTTCAGTGCATATTGTTATTAGTGGTTTGCAACCTTGGGTCGAAACGGACCCCCAAATTTAAACACATGAGGCCGCGGACCAGAATTTGATAAGATCTAGTCTTAGGTATCCACATCTGATAAGATTTAATTATTCCATAACTGTCCATACTGCATATTAACAGTGAAGAGTGTGAAACCTACTAACAGAATAATTATTGTTATACACTTTCTCATTGGGCTAACATCTCAGTGAAATAATAGTGAGATTTAAGTATTCCCCATTCTTCTTGGGGCCTCCTGAAACTCCTTCAAGGACCCCTGGGGGTCCCCGGACCCCAGGTTTAGAACCTCTGGCCTCATTTTATGTTTTCACTGTTAGAGGAAAGCTGTCTAATACACCAGTCTCCTGTAGGCTGAGAGCTGGTAAATGCAAAGGCCATAGATTATGATTCACATTTTTTTTTACTCATTATACAACTCAGTGAACCCTGTAGTCCTTCTGTTATTTGTTTATTCGATATTTGTTATGTCTCTCTATTGTTTTGATCATATTTTTCCTTTAATTTGTCAGCAGCTTGTACATGTATGGTGGTGGCAGCTGACAGAAGGTCTGTCCTGGAGCAGGCATGGGGTTGCCATGCTGTTCATATTTTTTCAAAAGCATTTGTTCCACTTAAAAACCTGAATTATTATTATAAAAATCCATCTGAAATTTAATTATCTGGATTGTTCTGATTAAGTTCTGAATTTATCTTGAAGTTTAAATGATGCATTCCCCAATAGTGATTAAAAGGAGGCGACACAAAAACATCTTAAATCTCTTACATATTTATTTTCTAGAAATCTGAAAAAACACTGAAACAAATGTCAATCCACTTTGGATAAATAAAAATCAAAATGGCCAATGGAACATAAGATGCATACATGGCATACACAAAATAATAACAAATCCCTTTTCAGAAGAAAGGTTGGTGTTTAAGAATACAATACATTATACCTTGAAACAAGGTGGTAAGACACTGTATGCAAACTGTATTCAGCACAATATTAGCTCATACAGTGTTTTCACAGGAGAATAGGTGCTCTGTTGGGCTTAACATTCTAAGCAGATTTTACTGCAGTTAATCAATAAAAATGTTAAAACATTTCCTAAACATTTAATCATCAACAAGAAATTCCTGCATAGTTAAGAGACCGGATTTATCTTCTGTGGTCTACAACCATGAGAATCATAAATTCCACAAATAGCAGCACAACATATTTTAACAACGTAGCGACGGACTCTTCTTCTTAGTCAGTGACCTCTTCACCTTTTCTTCTGAATCCAATTTTCTTCCTCTGGCGACTGTTGAAGCCAAAATGAAACCACAATATGAGGGTTCTGTAGATCTCATAATGCAAATAATGCATTTTTCTATAATCGACAGATCTTCAGCACACATAGAAGCAGCTAGTATCACTAGAATCTGTAGTTCCCATGTCAATAAACTGCAGTTTCAGTGATTTCCTACAAGTCCATTCCTCATCATTCCTCGTCATTAAAAGCACAGAGGAGCCAAGTCTTCCTCTGCGTCAGGAAACAGACGTAAAATGTCCCTTGAATATTTGGAGTAGCCATTGTGTGACAGCAGGGCTTTTCTCAAGGTGAGGAAGGACTTTGTTTTCTCCATGATATCTGAAACAGGGATCCCATTCTGCAGGTGTTCTCCAATCAGAGCCTTCAGCTTCTCCACTCCAATACTGCATTTCTTCTCCAGCATGTGCAGTTTACACCTGAGAGAAACAAAGTCAAGATTTTTATTAATATGTTTGTCATTTTAGTAAAAGGAACTTAATGAGAAAAAAAAAAACTTTTAAGGAACTAAAATGCAGTACAAACAGTTGGTTTGATCCATAAAAAGAAATGTAGCTTTGGCTTACCTAAAGAGCTGCTCCTTCACGCTGTCTTGAAAAGCGAGGTCTGCGTAGAGTGCCATTTCGAGGTTTGCTTCTTGTGGTGGTGAGTTCTGCTGCTGCTTGCGAAGGATCAGAGGCGTTTCTGTTGACATCTGCATCTCGGCTCTGTATTTATGCTGCTCATCCTGCGCTCTTTCTGCTTTTCAGCCAATCAGGAGGCTCAGATCTCAGGACAATAGAGTTAATTTAATGCCTGTCACACAGAACAGGTGGGATGCTTTATCTGTCTGCTATAGATCACTGAGGTCAGTGGGAAAATGTTTTTCCTCAAGTGGACACGGGAAAATTTTCCCACTGTGATATAGAGCAAATAACCTTTAATGACACTAATCTAGAAATAAAAATAAAGCAAAATATTGCATTCAACATTTCCAGTTAAACTAAGCAACATTTTCTCAATGGCATCAGCAAATACTCTCATTTAATGAATATCAGATACCCAACATGAACAAACGTTCTGTCTTGTACTGAAAATTAACTTTTTAATAAGTCAGGAACAATGAATGCACAGTGCACTCTCTTCTTAACTGTTTATTTAACTTTTCAAAACTTTTAATCACCTTACAAAAAAAATTATAGCAATATAATATAACTATACACATCCTTTAAAAAATCACCCAAAAGCTGTAATAATGTTCTAAAGTTATATTATCTGGCTGTGTGTGTCTCAGCAGTGAGTTACAGCTCAACCAGATGGCTCGTCTGTGAAGTGGCTTTCTGCCTGAGAACCGTCCTGAGGCTTTGTGAGAGCAGACACACTTCTATTGTGTGTGCAGCTGAGCAGGCTGCATACAGAAGTGTGGGAAGCCGTGTGTCGCTGTGGCTCCCAGCTCCGGAGACAGAGGAGGGCGTGTGACCGGGGCACGTTCAGCCTTGTGCAGAGAGCTGTGGGAGCTCAGAGGAGGGAAACCTGAGCCACTGCACAGACAGCCGACAGACACACAGACAGATGGAGGACAGATAAGCATGAAGGTGAACCCACCTAGAGAATAATGAACAAAAAACGGCAAGATATTTATCACAAACAAGAAAACAAAATATCTCTCAAAAGTGCATCAAAGAGTAAAAAGACAGAAAAAACATGTCAGTTATCTTATAGCAAGAACTGCTCATGATTGGAAAAACAATAATCTTACAAATAACAGCTTCTCTCTAGGTGTCTGGTAGGGATTTCTAAGACATCCTCATCTCTGGTTATTCAGAGTTAATCAATAGACATCAATTTCATGAATTTCGCTTGAGATTTTCCCTTTTTGTATTTATCAATGTCAATCAAATGCACTTTTCTTCATGACTTTCTGAGTTGATCCAGGCCAGCTAAACACACCATCAACTCTAAGCATAATAACAGAAAACACATGTATATTTGTACATGTACTTCTGTTTTGCAAAAATAAAAAATATCAGATATAGACTTAACCCCCCCTCCCCCAAAGCAAAGAGCCAAAAGAAAGTGAGGCTGTACTACAGTATGATTGAGGTTTTTGTATGTGTGCATGTATGTGTGCATGTATGTGTACAATATGTGTGCGTGGTAATGGCAGTTAAATGTTTTTTTAAATTTGGGGCACCCCAGTAGCTCACCAGATATAGCTCCTGCCCATTGTACTAAGTCCTCACCGTAGCAGCTCTCTTTCCTGTCTATCTTCAGCTGTCCATTAAAGGCATAAACCCCCAAATATACTGTAATATATCTGAATATGTATGATATGTTGCCAGAAATGGAATATAAAAGTCATAGCTATGTTTGTATAAGTGTATAACCACTTGAATAGGAATAAGAATCTTTGTGTGTTATTACCTTAGAATGAGACGTTTTTATCTACAGACGCCACGACTTGCATTACATGGAGTCTGCCATGTTGAACGGCCATGTTTCTATGATAGTCCAGAACACACAAACCAAACACTGGGTGTAAAAAGGGCCTTTAGGGTTTCCCAGTCACAGTAGTTCAGTGTTCAGTTAGTTGCAATCTGTCTCTTCACCACTAGATGCCACTAAATCATACACACTAGATCTTTAAATGTAAGACAATAATTGTTTTTGTAAAGTAATTTAAATGTCATAAATAATATTTAACATTCTCTTTGCTGTTGATTCTTTCATTGACCTCTCTCTTTCTTTCTCTCTTTCTCTCTTTCTCTATCTTTGGTGTAGAAGAAGATATACATACAAACTCAATTAGCTTTGGATTGTTGGTGGTTGATTAATACCCTAATTCACTGGTTATTTCTAATTGAGGTGTTAACTGGAATTACAAATACTAGTAAGGTGATTTTGTCATTTTAATTGTTTCTTATTTAGTCCACTATTACTATTAATAATTACCTTAATGCCATGCTATGTTTAAGACAAAAATGTTAAAAAGATGTCAAAAACATGTTTCCTGTGTATCATTTATCCTAAACAGGTGGGCTTCAGTGGTCTTATAATAAGGAATGTAGTTCAGGGTTCAGTATGTTATGGCAGTGAAACTTCATCAAAAGGGAGCTTAGTTGAAAAAATGTGATGTACTTTTTAAAAAACATTATTAAAAGAAAAAATTACATGGGATCAGAAAATTTGCAAATGACAGTATTTGTTTATTCAAAAAGGCACAAGCAGCCACATCAGGTATTAATAACACAAAGTACTCAGGGACAGTCTTTATAAAAGACAAAAAATGCTCTTAATAAAAAAGAACAACACATTAGAAACAGACCTTAAAACAGATCAGGATGTTCTTATCACCGAGTGATGACAGCAGGTTAACAACTGCTGAATACATAATGTTCATTAAAGAAAACGAGACAGTCACTGTAAAACTGTGACAGAGTGATATTAAGTAAATCTTTTAAAAAAAAGGTAAAACATTTGGATCTCACAACAGATCAATTTGAGTGATCACAGGGATTATAATATCCATAAAAAGGACAGGAAACTTTTTTGATCAGCATGATCAATAACAATCAAAAGATAACAGATGTTACCATAAAATATACTACCAATACATGAAGTACAGTGAGGTAAAATAATAATTGTTGATACAATCAGATATGTTCATGCAACATGCATGACAAGATGTTCTCTTTCTTAACAAGATATTATTGCTGTCATTTCCTTAGGAAATATCATCTTGCACCAAGAAAAACACAAAATACAACCTTCTGTACACACAGAAGAACAAGTTCATACAATTTCAAAGAATTCAGTCCAGTAATCTTTGACCAATGTGGTCATCTGAGTTTGTCTGGTAGTAACTCCAGAATGTAGGTGTCTACCACGGCCTCCAGAGGGCACTGTTGACTGGACTCTTGTCTTTGGTGATGCTGATCTGGACTGTGGAGCTCAGAAGAGAGAAGTCAGCCTCTCTCAGGTTCTTATCAGAGGAAGACGGCAGCTTGTTGAAGTGGCTCAGCAGTCTTCTCTGCTGTTGATTCTGCTGCTGCAGTCGTCTCAGGACACAAACTGTCATCTCCAGGATGTCTGCTTTCTCCAGCTTGGAGTCTGGCTGCTGTTTGAGGAACTCTGGATCCAGGAGAGACTTGAGCTGCTCAATGCTGCTGTTGATTCGCTCTCTGCGTAACTTTTCCACCAGAGGCTTTCTGAGCTGCAGAAAGAAGAAGAAAGTCATTAATAAACTTATTCTGGAACATAATGTTAATATAAAACAAGATAACATCTCATTAACAATATTTAAATCTTCTTGAATCTTCAATTTACCTTGTGGGTCAGAGTCAGATGCTCCTGAGAATTGGTCATTGCTGCAGTGATTGTAGGTGCCATGGCTGGATCTCTGTGCTGTAGAGGTCTCTGTAGAGAGAATCTGATCTCTGCTGGCTTCATCCCTCCTATTTATAGTCCCACATCTCCATATGAATGTGTGGGTCTTGGTCTGGTTGGAGTTTCTCACAGTCTCAGCCAATCAGAGAGCTTGGGGAGACAAAGGCATGAGGAGCAGCAGCATGTTAAATGCTGTTATTGCCCGGGGGGGACAATGGTTAATTCTCGGGGGAACAGGTGGAGGACTGGGGGGGTGATGGAGAGAGACTCACAGAGCTCTGTGTGAATCTGGGAAAGTGGTGACCCTGTAGAGAGCAGATCTGCTGTCTGATGCTGGGATCAATGACTTTGACTGAGCACACGCTGATCATCCCATCACACGTGGTGGATTAATATCTATGGTGTAATGTATGAAAATACATTCATGAAAAATATTTGTATGAAGTATGTGGATTTTTATAAAGCAAAAAAACTAAAATGTAGCAGGTGAATCACTTAGAGTTAGATTAGTTAGTTAGATATTTAATTAATTATTATTATAATTTTTTTTAACTTAACCTATTTTTGTAAAATTTTATTCAACCAAAAATGCCCCAATTTGCAAAACAGTACTATGTTATAGAACAGTGTGTGCATATAAATGACACTTAAGATAAAGTCAAGACAATAATCGTGCAGCTGTCCAGATGTAACAGTCCTTTGACACGTGCCTTAGTCTGTGTGAGTAAGTGGTAGAGCTCAGTTTCCCACACTGACTGCCTGTATGGTCATGGTCAGTGAACCACAAAGGGACTTCAGTGACAGATGCTGGCTGAGCCTTACATCACCACCCATCTGGAGGGAAACAACACCATTGGCTGATTCGGACAGTCTGCTAAATTTTAAATTTTGGTGAAAACTTTGTCACAAAAACAAAATATCACCAAAATGATCCCGTATTTCCCGATTTCCAGTCATTGTTGGGGGCTAAATTCTGAACCTCCAGTCACAATCCTGCCTCATCAGACCTAAACTTCAGCTCTACACATGAAGGTTTAAGGTTTCCTGGGGGGCAGCTGTTTCCTGAAGTGTGCCAAATCCCTTTGGAGAATTACTTGGCTGTTGGTGGGATGGATGTCATTCACATGTAACTCTGCCCTCAAGCGCTTTCCCACACTCCGCCTATTAGCACAAAAACAGGCATGTGCCCCTCTATAAATTGATTTTTTGTGGATCCTGCACATAACCAGCATTGCCCCCCCCCCCTCACAATCACAAATTAAATAAGCTTTATTTGGAAATTAAAAATAATTACTTCACATTTTAGGCACATAAATAATTAATTACCGGTAATATTGTAAAATGTTTGTTCACAGGTTCTTGGCCTCAGGAGGGAACCAGAGTTGTTGTAGTTTTGTATTTTTTCCATTAGTTTGTACTTTTATTTTGTTTAATTAATTTTAATATTAGTCTGTTTCCAGAGTGGGTTTTCTCGTTTGAGTTTAGTTTTTATTAATCAAAAAAGTTTAGTTTTCATCTTCTTCATTTTTAATGTATTATTATTATTAGCCTATAATATGGGGGTATTTGATTTAAGAAGTTACAATAGATACTCAATAAACATTATGAACTAACGCCTGCTTATGCTTGTTGCGTTGATAGATTTGACCAAATTGACAAGGAATAAAACTAAAGACATTTTCTGCATATTTCTAATTTAGTTTATTTTAGTTATTTAAGCAACTAAAACAAGTACACAAGTAGTTTTAGTTTTTAGTTTAGTTTTATTTAACTATAATAACCTTGGTAAGAATGTCTCATTATGGAATTTTGTCCTCTGAGGTCATGACAGGTAGTAGATATTGAATATGACCTCTCGCCAACCAACCAACCACTTTAATGGTTAACGGTTAAGAAATTAACATTAACATATGTTTTCTCTTAAAGATGCTGAACCATACTCTCCATACTAAAGGCAGTTCACCCTCGACCCTTTTTCACCACTCACTTTATTGTCAGTCTATGCCGGAACATTAGGTTTTGTTATATTGCGCACACAAATGTTTCGTATCTGTCTAAATGTCACAGTCTATAGTGTTGATATAAGACAAAAATGTAATTTAAAAGACAGTAATGTGTTGGTGAGGAGTGTATTTTCTGAATATTTGGTGCTACTATTAGTTTCTGTTTCATGAAGTAGTTAATATAGCGTGTAAATAGTGTAATTAGCCAAACTCTTATGTTAAATATACAACAGCAATGGGTTGCACAGGCTGTCTGTAGCTTCAGTTCTCCCCTAAAGTCAACAACAGAGGTTTAGTTAGCTTGTTTATAACTAAATTAGCTTCTATTATTGGTTTTAGTAGCTGATTACTTGGGGCGTAGCTTAACTAGCTTGTAAGTAGCTAATCAACGGTCAAAGATGGAGTTCCATCGTCATGGTTACTGTGGACCAGTAACTTCCGGCATTAAGTATTAGAGTTGCACAATATGGTTAAAACATAAAACATATTGGGATTATTGGGACAGGTTTTGCAATTGTGATTCGCGATTAAATGATCGTTTATGCATCAGAAATTAAATTTTCTTATTTTCTTGTTTAATTTGCTTAATTATAAAGCTGTTTTGTCTCACATTTTAGGTTCATAAAAAGAAATGCAGCTTCTACGATTTGCATATTGTGAGTTCAATAATATTTCGATTAATTGTGCAGCCCTGTATGAAAGTCACGTTAGCCACAGGAGAGTTAGCAGATAATAACATCACTTTCTGGCCTACAGATCAGTGAGACAACTACATAATCAGTAATTATGAAGTATTTCTCATTCTTTACTCCATTCACTCATGACAATCCTAGGAAAACAAATTCAGCTCACAGAACACTACTGAATAATATGCATCAGCTGGGATGTAAAAGTGGGTCTACTCATTGCAGAATGAAAAATGAATCACAACTTAATAATGATTTAAGTTATATTTAGACTAAGTTGAACTCACATAAAAATATTGTCTCTCTGTCTAGATGAACCTACTCTGAAAAAGGCATTGATGCTGATTTATGTCATCGAGGAACACTGACAGCCAAAGGTGAGATTTAAAACAAATTCCAGTTTTGGAGCCAGGCTCCTTTTTAATCTCTTGAGGGCAAAGGTCTTGATCTATTGTCCCACAGGGCTCTGTTTCCCACACTCTGGCCTTTTACTGCTTTCACAGGAGCAACAATAGAAGTGTGTAATATTATGCATGTCATTATGTTTGACCTCATTAAAGGGGTAAATTGATAACTTTTATACTTGCATTAAAACACCTGAAACTCACAGTTAAAATAATAGTGCAGGAAAAGGGTCTTTGAAGTGTGAGTTTTCTTATTTGGTTTGATGACTTGACTTATTCCATGAAAATAAATTGACCTAACATTGATAATCCCTCATTGTCGAATCTTAACCCTAAGCAGGTATGTTATGGATGCATAATTACTCTGTGTGTTGAACTTTACCTTGATATTTGAATCAAAGGTAGGCACAATGATGGAGACCTCTATCAATTAAATGAAAATGAAGACAAATGTAGGAATGATCTTTTTCATCATAATAAAAATTATGTAAACGTGACACAAAATGACATGAGGAGGCAACATTTTCAGCTGGCAGTGTTTGTTTATTCAACAAGGCACAATGAGCCACATGAAGTAAGAAAGCTCCAACTAGAGGTGATGATACATCATAACAACAACTTGTAGATTTCTACAAGACACACTGTACTCAGAGAGAGTAAAGGAACAGCTGTCTTTATAAAAGACAAATGATTTACAATATTTGAGGACACAGTACTCACTGTCCTTTGAGAGTTTCTTCACAAATGGATCAAAATATTTTCACTTTGCAAACAAAATGAAAACATAGTAAAAACTGATCTTGAAACAGATCACATCATTCTTATAACCATTAAATTCAACTGAATTTCAAAATATAAAACTTATATTGTCACTGGAAAACTGTGACAGTGTGACATCAAACAAACCTTTAACAGTAAAAGGATAAACATATTGATCTTAAAACAGATCATTGTTCAATAATCACATAAAGTGAGAGAAAGTCCATTCAGACAAAATGTCCATAAAAAGGACAATTCAGATTATTGATCTAAATGATCATTAGTAATCAAGAGGTAACAAATATCACCAATTCAATGTTTTAGTAATATGGAATATGCAGTGAGTTAAAAAAGTGTCACAGAGAAATTGTGACATTAATTAAACCTTTTACAAAAAGGATAAACATTTAGATCTTATAACAGATCAGTTTTAAGTGATCACACATTAAAGTGAGTTAAAGTCAATTATGACAATATGTCCATAAAAAGGACAGTTCAAGTTTCTGATCAGTATGATCAATAACAATCAAAAGATAACAGATGTTACCATAGAGTGTACTACCAATACATGAAGTACAGTGAGGTATAATAATAATTACTGATGCAATCAGATATGTTCATGCAACATGCATGACAAGATGTTCTCTTTCTTAACATGAAAGATATTGTTGCTGTCATTTCCTTAGGAAATATCATCTTGAACCAAGAAAAACACAAAATACAACCTTCTGTACACACAGAAGAACAAGTTCATACAATTTCAAAGAATTCAGTCCAGTAATCTTTGACCAATGTGGTCATCTGAGTTTGTCTGGTAGTAACTCCAGAATGTAGGTGTCTACCACGGCCTCCAGAGGGCACTGTGGACTGGACTCTTGTCTTTTGTGATGCTGGTCTGGACTGTGGAGCTCAGAAGAGAGAAGTCAGCCTCTCTCAGGTTCTTATCAGAGGAAGACTGCAGCTTGTTGAAGTGGTTCAGCATTCTTCTCTGGGACTGTTGATTAGCCCGTACGCTCTGTGCTTGATGCTGCTGCTGAGTCGTCTCAGGACACAAACTGTCATCTCCAGGATGTCTGCTTTCTCCAGCTTGGAGTCTGGCTGCTGTTTGAGGAACTCTGGATCCAGGAGAGACTTGAGTTGCTCAATGCTGCTGTTGATTCGCTCTCTGCGTAACTTTTCCACCAGAGGCTTTCTGAGCTGCAGAAAGAAAGAAAGTCATTAATAAACTTATTCTGGAACATAGCGTTAATATAAAACAAGATAACATCTCATTAACAATATTTAAATCTTCTTGAATCTTCAATTTACCTTGTGGGTCAGAGTCAGATGCTCCTGAGAATTGGTCATTGCTGCAGTGATTGTAGGTACCATGGCTGGATCTCTGTGCTGTAGAGGTCTCTGTAGAGAGAATCTGATCTCTGCTGGCTTCATCCCTCCTATTTATAGTCCCACATCTCCATATGAATGTGTGGGTCTTGGCCTGGCTGGAGTTTCTCACAGTCTCAGCCAATCAGAGAGCTCGGTGAGACAAAAAGGGATGCTAAAGGCTGAATTGCTTTGAGGTTCAATGGTTAGGTCTCGGGGGAACAGGTGGACGACTTGGGGGGTGATGGAGAGAGACTCACAGAGCTCTTTGTGAATCTGGGAAAGTGGTGACCCTGTAGAGAGTAGATCTGCAGCCTGATGCTGGGATCAAGGACTCTGACTGAGCACACGTGTCAGATATTGACAGTTCAGTGCATATAGGGTAAAAAGTGCTTTAAACGTACATATAGCTAAATTAAATAATAAGTGGAAATATATTATTTGGTCTAAAATCTAATATTGAGCCACAATCTTAAAACTAGCAAGTGCATTTATATAATTTATCCTCCATCTTGTCTTGATAATCCACATACAATTTTCATTTAATTACATTTCAATGTTTTCTTAAATCTTGAGATAATTATTATACTTCACTCTGGTATGATAATTCTCTTAGGTGTTAAAAATATTGAGATTTCCATGATGCATTGAAAATATATTTTAAAAACCCTTATATCAGCAGTCATTTTGCTGTCCAGATGTAACAAAGTCTTCTGACTTGTGTCTTGTAGTCAGTGTGGGTAGAAAGTTGGTCTCACTTTCCCACACTGACTCCCTGAATGCTGTGGTCAGTGAACAACAAAAGGACTTTGAATGGAGCTTTTGTGACTGATACTGGACGTGTGTTGTAGTAGAAACAGAGCCTGACGTCACCAACCATCTGGAGGGAAAGAACACCATTGGCTGCTTCTGACTGGTTAGATTGAATTTATGAGGAAAATGTTATAATTCAGAATCAGCTCAGTTAATTTGGAAGATTATTTATAGAACACATTTTTACCATCCAATCCTTACTGTTCCTTTCTATCAGTAACTGGATAAACTTTCAGCTCTATGGATGAGGGTGGGAGGTTGAGGCAGCTGTTTCATGAAGTGTGCCAAATTCCTTTGGAGAATAGTCTGCTGCTGGTGGGGTTGAGGATGCTAATCATGCTAAACTCTGTTCTCCAGACGTTTCTCACAGTCTGTACATTGAAAGAAGTTTAGATGTGTGTCTGAATCTGAATAGACAGTTTGACAATGTTTCCAACATCATGGGCGGATTATATGTTTTTATTTTCCTCTTACACTTTACAGCTCATCAAGATTCAATGTCAAAGCATATGATGTTAAAATTGATAATAAGGAAACCAATAGAGAAATAATTCATGTCAGTTAAATAGAGAAATATGACCGGTACACACTGAGATCAACATGTGATACTAGGTTTTACTCATATTCTTTCAAGAAAACACTGATGTATGTGGTATCAGCACTGGAATATTTTCTCTTTTTTAATATGCCCATAGCCATATTACGATTTCAATATTATTTTAATAAATTGGTCAGCCCGGATTTCTCGTCTTGTTTTATAAGGCAAAAAAATTTCATGAGGCCTGAAGTATTTGTGAAACTAAACAAACCAAATATCATACAAAATCAATTCTGAAAAAGAATCCCTTTTCACAATGTACTTAATTTACAGAAACACAATATTTTCTGAGATGGAAGATCCCTTACTTGACTTACAAGTTGGTGAAGGTAATTATATAGGAAAAACACTTCAAATGTTCTCTGTGCTTTGAAACATGTTAAGAAGATTCAGTTTTGGAGCCAGGTTCCTTTTAATCTCTGTCTCATCAGGGCAAAGGTCTGGATCTATTGTCCCACAGGGCTCTGTGAGTGAGCTTCCTCTGGTTTCCCACACTCTGGCCTTTCACTGGGGGAACAATAGAAGTGTGTCTTATGCTGCATCTCATTAGATACAATGTAGGACCTTTTTATATAGTGAACTGTTAACTTTGAACTTTTTAGATTAAAATACCGAAAGACTTTTGTAGCAAACGTGTCTTTGAAATATACTTGTTCTTACCATTAACAGTACTTAATTGAATCACATTACTATTCTTACTTTTACCTTAAACAGGAATGTTGTGGATAAACAATTAGGCCTACTGTCTGCTGAATTTTATCTTGATTTATCAATGAAACCTAAGAACAATGATGGAGGCCTCTATCAATTAAATGACAATTAAAAATTAATTTAGTAAGTTTCTTTCATCATCATAAAGAAGGTAATGACACACAATGACATGAGAACACAAGATATTCAGCTGGCAGTGTTTGTTTATTCAACAAGGCACAATGAGCCACATGAAGTAAGAAAGCTCCAACTAGAGGTGATGATACATCACAACAACAACTTGTAGATTTCTACAAGACACACTGTACTCAGAGAGAGTAAAGGAACAGCTGTCTTTATAAAAGACAAATGATTTACAATATTTGAGGACACAGTACTCACTGTCCTTTGAGAGTTTCTTCACAAATGGATCAAAACATTTTTTACTTTGCAAACAAAATGAAAAACATGTAAAAACTGATCTTGAAACAGATCACATCATTCTTATAACCATTAAATTCAACTGATTCTCAAAATGTAAATATTACATTGTCACTGGAAAACTGTGACAGTGTGAAATTAAACAAACCTTTAACACTAAAAGGATAAACATATTGATCTTAAAACAGATCATTGTTCAATAATCACATAAAGTAAGAGAAAGTCCATTAAGACAAAATGTCCATAAAAAGGACAATTCAGATTATTGATCTAAATGATCATTACTAATCAAGAGGTAACAAATATCACCAATTCAGTATGTTTTAGTAATATGGAACATGCAGTGAATTATAAAAGTGTCACAGAGAAATTGTGACATTAATTAAACCTTTTAAAAAAAGGATAAACCTTTGGATCTTATAACAGATCAGTTTTAAGTGATCCCACATTGAAGTGAGTTAAAGTCTATTATGACAATATGTCCATAAAAAGGACAGTTAACGTTTTTGATCAGTATGATCAATAACAATCAAAAGATAACAGATGTTACCATAGAATATACTACCAATACATGAAGTACAGTGAGGTATAATAATAATTGCTGATGCAATCAGATATGTTCATGCAACATGCATGACAAGATGTTCTCTTTCTTAACATGAAAGATATTGTTGCTGTCATTTCCTTAGGAAATATCATCTTGCACCAAGAAAAACACAAAATACAACCTTCTGTACACACAGAAGAACACGTTCATACAATTTCAAAGAATTCAGTCCAGTAATCTTTGACCAATGTGGTGATCTGAGTTTGTCTGGTAATAACTCCAGAATGTAGGTGTCTACCATGGCCTCCAGAGGGCGCTGTGGACTGAACTCTTGTCTTTAGTGATGCTGGTCTGGACTGTGGAGCTCAGAAGAGAGAAGTCAGCCTCTCTCAGGTTCTTATCAGAGGAAGACTGCAGCTTGTTGAAGTGGTTCAGCAGTCTTCTCTGCTGTTGATTCTGCTGTTGCAGTCGTCTCAGGACACAAACTGTCATCTCCAGGATGTCTGCTTTCTCCAGCTTGGAGTCTGGCTGCTGTTTGAGGAACTCTGGATCCAGGAGAGACTTGAGCTGCTCAATGCTGCTGTTGATTCGCTCTCTGCGTAACTTTTCCACCAGAGGTTTTCTGAGCTGCAGAAAGAAGAAGAAAGTCATTAATAAACTTATTCTGGATCATAATGTTAATATAAAACAAGATAACATCTCATTAACAATATTTAAATCTTCTTGAATCTTCAATTTACCTTGTGGGTCAGAGTCAGATGCTCCTGAGAATTGGTCATTGCTGCAGTGATTGTAGGTGCCATGGCTGGATCTCTGTGCTGTAGTGGTCTCTGTAGAGAGAATCTGATCTCTGCTGGCTTCATCCCTCCTATTTATAGTCCCACATCTCCATATGAATGTGTGGGTCTTGGTCTGGTTGGAGTTTCTCACAGTCTCAGCCAATCAGAGAGCTTGGTAGGACAATACATGATTAACCCGTTGACTGTTGTTAATGCCTGGGGGACAATTGTTAAATCTCAGGGGAACAGGTGGAGGACTGGGGGGGTGATGGAGAGAGACTCACAGAGCTCTGTGTGAATCTGGGAAAGTGGTGACCCTGTAGAGAGCAGATCTGCTGCCTGATGCTGGGATCAATGACTTTGACTGAGCACACGCTCATTATCCCTTCACACAGTTGGTGGATTAACATCCATGGTGTAATGTATGAAAATACATTCATGAAAAATATATGTGTAAAAAATAAATACAAAAAGTATGTGGATTTTTTTCGCCAAAACCTTAAATGTAGCAGGTGAATCACTTTAGTCAGGTATTTAATGTAATTGTTTTTCAACTTAACATATTTTTATTATATTTTATTTAACCAAAAATGCTCCAATTTGCAAAACAGTACGTTGTTATAGAACAGTGTGTGCATATAATGGCACTTAAGATAAAGTCAAGACAATAATCGTGCAGCTGTCCAGATGTAGCAGTCCTTTGACACGTGCCATATAGTCGGTGTGAGTAAGCGGTAGAGCTCAGTTTCCCACACTTACTGCCTATATGGTCAATGAACCACAAAGGGACTTCAGTGACAGATGCTGGCTGAGCCTTACATCACCACCCATCTGGAGGGAAACAACACCATTGGCTGATTCTTACAGTCTGCTAAATTTGAAAGTTTGGTGAAAAATCTGTTAAAGTATCACCAAAATGATTCCTCATGTTTTCAATGTCCAATGATTGTTGGGGACTAAATTTTGAACCTCCAGTCATAATCCTGCCTCATCAGACCTACATTTCAGCTCTACACATGAAGGTTTAAGGTTTCCTGGGGGGCAGCTGTTTCCTGAAGTGTGCCAAATCCCTTTGGAGAATTACTTGGCTGTTGGTGGGATGGATGTCATTCACATGTAACTCTGCCCTCAAGCGCTTTCCCACACTCCGCCTATTAGCACAAAAACAGGCATATGCCCCTTTACAAATTGACTTTTGTTTATAGTACACATAAAATAATTACTTCACATTTTAGACACAGAAATAATTAATTAACATTGTAAAGTGCAAAATACCATGTTTGTTTAGGAACCAGGAGGAACCAGAGTTCTGATAGTTTTATAGTTTTTTCACTAGTTTTTACTTGTATTTAATTTTTTGTTTTTGTTTTTTACTTTTAGAAGTTCTAAAAGGTATCACAATACAAACACATTTACTCACACTCATCCTGTTCTCAATAAAAATAGGAATTAAGGCCTGCTTATGCTTGTTGTGTTTTGACAGATTTGACCAAATTGACAGGGAATAAAACTAAAGACATTTTCTGCATTTAAAAAAAAAATGTAAGTTAGTTTTATTGAGTATGCAATATTGTGTCAGTGCGTTTATTTCAGGTTTTAGTTTTTTATTCAGTTTTAGTTAACTATAATAACCTTGGAAGGAATGTCTCATTATGACATTTTGTCCACTGAGGTCATGACAGGAAGTAGATATTGAATATCACCTCACGCCAACCAACCACAACTTCAACGGTTAATGGTTCACAAATTACTTCAACAAATATTTTCTCTTACAGATGCTGAACCATACTCTAGATACACAACCCTGGCAGGTACACAGTGACCTATTTGGCCTTTGAGAGAAAAGGATATTACCCTGAGACAGTTCACCCTCAACCCTTCAAGTTTCAGTAGTGAGTAACTGCTAGCATAAACTTTATTTTTCACCACTAACTTTATTGTCCGCCTATGCCGGAACATTAGATTTCTTATATATATATATATATATATTGTTTTGTAGCTGATTACTTGGAGCATATCCTAACTAGCTTGGATGTTAAGTCATAACTAAGGTAAGTGGCTAATTAACGGTCAAAGATGTTCCATCGTCATGGTTACTGTGGGCCAGTAACTGGAATTAACATTAGCGAGCAGATTCTGTCTCAATATGGGACAACAGACAAGTGAGACATTCCTCATTCCTTATTCCATTAACTTATGAAAATAGGACAGCTACAGTATGTCATGCCTTCACCATCTTAGGAAAAAAGAAATCGCTACGACAACAACACTTCTGAATAATGTCCATCTGCCAAGATGTAGAAGTGGGTATACCCAATGCAGACTGAAAAATAAATCACAACTTAGTAATGATTTAAGTTATATTAAGACTAAGATGAATTAACCTAAAAATATTGTCTTTTTTTAGATGAACGTACTCTGAAAAAGGTGTTTGGGCTTTGTGTATCTTACAACCAAAGGTGAGATTTGAAACAAATTCCGGTTTTGGAGCCAGGCTCCTTTTTAATCTCTTGAGGGCAAAGGTCTTGATCTATTGTCCCACAGGGCTCTGTGAGGGAGTTTTCTCAGGTTTCCCACACTCTGGCCTTTCACTGCTTTCACTGGAGCAACAATAGAAGTGTGTCATATTATGCATGTCATTATGTTTGACCTCTTTAAAGGGGTAAATTGTTAACTTTTATATTTATAATAAAACACCTGAAACTCACAGTTATACCAAAGCAAAAGTGTCTTTGAAATGTGTTGAACTTGATCTTGATGTGTGCATCAAAGGTAGGCACAATGATGGAGACCTCTATCGATTAAATGAAAATGAAGACAAATGTAGGAATTATCTTTTTCATCATAATAAAAATTATGTAACCGTGACAAACAATGACATGAGGAGGCAACATTTTTAGCTGGCAGTGTTTGTTTATTCAACAAGGCACAATGAGCCACATGAAGTAAGAAAGCTCCAACTAGAGGTGATGATACATCACAACAACAACTTGTAGATTTCTACAAGACACACTGTACTCAGAGAGAGTAAAGGAACAGCTGTCTTTATAAAAGACAAACGATTTACAATATTTGAGGACACAGTACTCACTGTCCTTTGAGAGTTTCTTCACAAATGGATCAAAACATTTTCACTTTGCAAACAAAATGAAAACATAGTAAAAACTGATCTTGAAACAGATCACATCATTCTTATAACCATTAAATTCAATTGATTCTCAAAATGTAAATATTACATTGTCACTGGAAAACTGTGACAGTGTAACATCAAACAAACCTTTAACACTAAAAGGATAAACATATTGATCTTAAAACAGATCATTGTTCAATAATCACATAAAGTAAGAGAAAGTCCATTAAGACAAAATGTCCATAAAAAGGACAATTCAGATTTTTGATGATTATCAAAATCATCATTACTAATCAAGAGGTAACAAATATTACCAATTCAATATGTTTTAGTAATATGGAACATGCAGTGAATTATAAAAGTGTCACAGAGAAATTGTGACATTAATTAAACCTTTTAGAAAAAAAGGATAAACATTTGGATCTTATAACAGATCAGTTTTAAATTATCACACATTAATGTGAGTTAAAGTCTATTATGACAATATGTCCATAAAAAGGACAGTTCAAGTTTCTGATCAGTATGATCAATAACAATCAAAAGATAACAGATGTTACCATAGAATATACTACCAATACATGAAGTACAGTGAGGTATAATAATAATTGCTGATGCAATCAGATATGTTCATGCAACATGCATGACAAGATGTTCTCTTTCTTAACATGAAAGATGTTGTTGCTGTCATTTCCTTAGGAAATATCATCTTGCACCAAGAAAAACACAAAATACAACCTTCTGTACACACAGAAGAACAAGTTCATACGATTTCAAAGAATTCAGTCCAGTAATCTTTGACCAATGTGGTCATCTGAGTTTGTCTGGTAGTAACTCCAGAATGTAGGTGTCTACCACGGCCTCCAGAGGGCGCTGTGGACTGGACTCTTGTCTTTGGTGATGCTGGTCTGGACTGTGGAGCTCAGCAGAGAGAAGTCAGCCTCTCTCAGGTTCTTATCAGACGAAGGCTGCAGCTTGTTGAAGTGGTTCAGCAGTCTTCTCTGGGGCTGTGTCTTCACCTGTTCCTTGGACAGGAAGTGTGTCACCTCTTGGACACACCTGGAGTAGCCCTGATCAACAGCTGCTGAGTCCACAGCTTGATGCTGCTGCTGCAGTCGTCTCAGGACACAAACTGTCATCTCCAGGATGTGTGCTTTCTCCAGCTTGGAGTCTGGCTGCTGTTTGAGGAACTCTGGACCCAGGAGAGACTTGAGTTGCTCAATGCTGCTGTTGATTCGCTCTCTGCGTAACTTTTCCACCAGAGGCTTTCTGAGCTGCAGAAAGAAGAAGAAAGTCATTAATAAACTTATTCTGGAACATAGCGTTAATATAAAACAAGATAACATCTCATTAACAATATTTAAATCTTCTTGAATCTTCAATTTACCTTGTGGGTCAGAGTCAGATGCTCCTGAGAATTGGTCATTGCTGCAGTGATTGTAGGTGCCATGGCTGGATCTCTGTGCTGTAGAGGTCTCTGTAGAGAGAATCTGATCTCTGCTGGCTTCATCCCTCCTATTTATAGTCCCACATCTCCATATGAATGTGTGGGTCTTGGTCTGGTGGAAGTTTCTCACAGTCTCAGCCAATCAGAGAGCTTGGTGAGACAATAAAGGATGCTAAAGGCTGAATTGCTTTGAGGTTCAATGGTTAGATCTCGGGGGAACAGGTGGACGACTTGGGGGGTGATGGAGAGAGACTCACAGAGCTCTTTGTGAATCTGGGAAAGTGGTGACCCTGTAGAGAGCAGATCTGCTGCCTGATGCTCGGATCAAGGACTCTGACTGAGCACACGTGTCAGATATTGACAGTTCATTGCATCTAGGCTAAAAAGTGCTTTAAACTTACACATAGCTAAATTAAATAATAAGTGGTAATATTATTTGGTCTAAATTCTAATATTGAGCCACCATCTTAAAACTAGCAAGTGCATTTTATGTCATTTATCCTCCATCTTGTCTTGATAATCCACATAAAATCTTCATTTAATTACATTTAAATTTTTTCTTAAATCTTGAGATAATTAAAGTCCTTCACTCTGGTATGATAATTCTCTTAGGTGTTAAAAATATTGAGATTTCCATGATGCATTGAAAATATATTTTAAAAACCCTAAGAACAGCAGTCATTTTGCTGTCCAGATGTAACAAAGTCTTCTGACTTGTGTCTTGTAGTCAGTGTGGGTAGAAAGTTGGTCTCACTTTCCCACACTGACTCCCTGAATGCTGTGGTCAGTGAACAACAAAAGGACTTTGAATGGAGCTTTTGTGACTGATACTGGACGTGTGTTGTAGTAGAAACAGAGCCTGACGTCACCAACCATCTGGAGGGAAAGAACACCATTGGCTGCTTCTGACTGTAAAGTTGAATTTATGATGAAAATGTTATCATTAAGAATCAGCTCGGTTGATTTGGAAGATTTTTTATAGAACACATTATTACATCCAATCCTAACTGTTCCTTTCTATCAGTAACTGGATAAACTTTCAGCTCTATGGATGAGGGTGGGAGGTTGAGGCAGCTGTTTCATGAAGTGTGCCAAATTCCTTTGGAGAATAGTCTGCTGCTGGTGGGGTTGAAGATGCTAATCATGCTAAACTCTGTTCTCCAGGGTTTTCCCACAGTCTGTACTTTACAAGATTTTTAGGCGTGTGTCTAAATCTGAATAGACAGTTTGAGGATTATGTTTTCAACAAATAGGGGGCGTGGCATTTTTTTCTTTTTACATTTACAGTTTACAGCTCATCAAGGTTCAATTTCAAAATATATAAAGTTAAAATAGAGAATACTGGAACCAGCAGAGAAATCCTTTATGCCAGTTAAAAACTTGGAAAATCTATATAGGGCTTCAGCTTTTGATTAATTAAGTAATCAAGTAGTGTATTGATAACTGAATCGATCAGTAGGAACTTTGGACACTTACTGTAATTTTTTCTGGTATGTCTCTTCTCTTCGTCTCACTATTTTCTCTCTCCAAAGCATGTTGTATGTCAGTAATATTCACCCATGCAAAACGCAGTGCGCTATATGGCTGTATATAGTTATCTGGATTAAACGAAGCCTCTATACAAATTATTTGCAAAGATGAATTTTATTAATCGAATAACTCAAGTAACTTGAGTAATCGTTTCAACCCTAAAACTATACTGTAAATATAAATGGTATACATTGAGGTCAACATGTGATACTTCATTTTAGTCGTATTCTTTCAAGATGGCACTGATGTGTGTGGTATCAGCACTGAAATATTTTATCATATATGTCAAGTTGGTGAAGGTAATTATATAGGAAAAACAGTTCAAATGTTCTCTGTGCTTTGAAACATGTTAAGAAGATTCAGTTTTGGAGCCAGGTTCCTTTTAATCTCTGTCTCTTCAGGGCAAAGGTCTGGATCTATTGTCCCACAGGGCTCTGTGAGTGAGCTTCCTCTGGTTTCCCACACTCTGGCCTTTCACTGGGGGAACAATAGAAGTGTGTCTCATGATGCATCTCATTAGATACAATGTAGGACCTTTTTATAGAGTGAACTGTTAACTTTGAACTTTTCAGATTAAAATACCGAAAGAATTTTGTAGCAAACGTGTCTTTGAAATATACTTGTTCTTACCATTGACAGTACTTAATTAAATCACATTACTATTCTTACTTTTACTTTAAACAGGAATGTTGTGGATGAACTATTTCTGTGTCTGCTGAATTTTATCTTGATTTATCAATGAAACCTAAGAACAATGATGGAGGCCTCTATCAATTAAATGGCAATTAAAAATGAAGGTGGAAAATCTCTTTCATCGTCATAAAGAAGGTAATGACACACAATGACATGAGAACACAAGATATTCAGCTGGCAGTGTTTGTTTATTCAACAAGGCACAATGAGCCACATGAAGTAAGAAAGCTCCAACTAGAGGTGATGATACATCACAACAGCAACTTGTAGATTTCTACAAGACACACTGTACTCAGAGAGAGTAAAGGAACAACTGTCTTTATAAAAGACAAACGATTTACAATATTTGAGGACACAGTACTCACTGTCCTTTGAGAGTTTCTTCACAAATGGATCAAAACATTTTCACTTTGCAAACAAAATGAAATTATAGTAAAAACTGATCTTGAAACAGAGCACATTGTTCTTATAACCATTAAATTCAATTGATTCTCAAAATGTAAATAATACATTGTCACTGGAAATCTGTGACAGTGTGACATCAAACAAACCTTTAACACTAAAAGGATAAACATATTGATCTTAAAACAGATCATTGTTCAGAAATCACATAAAGTGAGAGAAAGTCCATTAAGACAAAATGTCCATAAAAAGGACAATTCAGATTATTGATCTAACTGATCATTAGTAATAAAGAGATAACACATATCACCAATTCAATGTTTTAGTAATATGGAATATGCAGTGACTTTAAAAAAGTGTCACAGAGATAATTGTCACATTAATTAAACCTTTTAAAAAAGGATAAACATATTGATCTTAAAACAGATCATTGTTCAATAATCACATAAAGTGAGGAAAGTCCATTAAGACAAAATGTCCATAAAAGGACATTCAGATTATTGATCTATATGATCATTAGTAATCAGAGGTAACAATATCACCAATTCAGTATGTTTTAGTAATGTGGAACATGGGTGAATTATAAAGTGTCACGAGAAATTGTGAGATTAATTAAACCTTTAAGAAAAAAAGGATTGACATTTGGATCTTATAAGAGATCAGTTTTAAGTGATCACACATTAATGTGACTTAATGTCCATTATGACAATATGTCCTTATAAAGGACAAAGTCTTCTGATCAGTATGATCAATAACAATCAAAAGATAACAGATGCTACCATAGAATATACTACCAATACATGAAGTACAGTGAGGTATAATAATAATTGCTGATGCAATCAGATATGTTCATGCAACATGCATGACAAGATGTTCTCTTTCTTAACATGAAAGATATTCTTGCTGTCATTTCCTTTGGAAATATCATCTTGCACCAAGAAAAACACAAAATACAACCTTCTGTACACACAGAAGAACATGTTCATACAATTTCAAAGAATTCAGTCCAGTAATCTTTGACCAATGTGGTGATCTGAGTTTGTCTGGTAATAACTCCAGAATGTAGGTGTCTACCACGGCCTCCAGAGGGCGCTGTTGACTGGACTCTTGTCTTTGGTGATGCTGGTCTGGACTGTGGAGCTCAGAAGAGAGAAGTCAGCCTCTCTCAGGTTCTTATCAGAGGAAGACGGCAGCTTGTTGAAGTGGTTCAGCAGTCTTCTCTGGGACTGTGTCTTCACCTGATCCTTGGACAGGAAGTGTGTCACCTCTTGGACACACCTGGAGTAGCCCTGATCAACAGCTGCTGAGTCCACAGCTTGATGCTGCTGCTGCAGTCGTCTCAGGACACAAACTGTCATCTCCAGGATGTCTGCTTTCTCCAGCTTGGAGTCTGGCTGCTGTTTGAGGAACTCTGGACCCAGGAGAGACTTGATCTGCTCAATGCTGCTGTTGATTCGCTCTCTGCGTAACTTTTCCACCTGAGGCTTTCTGAGCTGCAGAAAGAAGAAGAAAGTCATTAATAAACTTATTCTGGAACATAGTGTTAATATAAAACAAGATAACATTTCATTAACAATATTTAAATCTTCTTGAATCTTCAATTTACCTTGTGGGTCAGAGTCAGATGCTCCTGAGAATTGGTCATTGCTGCAGTGAATGTAGGTGCCATGGCTGGATCTCTGTGCTGTAGAGGTCTCTGTAGAGAGAATCTGATCTCTGCTGGCTTCATCCCTCCTATTTATAGTCCCACATCTCCATATGAATGTGTGGGTCTTGGTCTGGCTGGAGTTTCTCACAGTCTCAGCCAATCAGAGAGCTTGGAGAGACAATAAAAGATTAACCTGTTAAAAGTGATGCCAAAGGCTGAATTGCTTTGAGGTTTAATGGTTAAATCTCAGGGGAACAGGTGGAGAACTGGGGGTTGTGATGGAGAGAGACTCACAGAGCTCTGTGTGAATCTGGGAAAGTGGTGACCCTGTAGAGAGCAGATCTGCTGTCTGATGCTGGGATCAATGACTCTGACTGAGCACATGCTCATCATCCCTTTACACGCGTGGTGGAAAATTATCTATTGTGTAATTTATGAAATATATTTAGAATCAAAATGAATGAAAAAATTTGGAGTTTTTTTATTTCTAGCGCTCTGAATGAGCTAAAAATCTTAAATGCATCAATTGAATTCTCTTTGTTTTAAACTGAGAGTTTAGATATTTTATTTTCTCAGTTAATCAATGTTTCTTCTGTTTTGTTTAATCAAAAATACAGGATTTTGCAACAGAATAAGACATTAGAGAACATTGTGATGCCCATTCATCGCACTTAAAGTAAAGAAAATAATCATGATGCTGTCCAGATGTAGCAGTCTTGACACGTGCCATATAGTCGGCGTGAGTAACAAGTAAAGCCCAGTTTCCCACACTGACTGCCTGTATGGTCAATGAACCACAAAGGGACTTTAGTGACAGATGCTGGCTGTGTGTTGTTATAGAAACAGAGTCTGACATCACCAGCCATCTGGAGGGAAACGACACCATTGGCTGGCTCTGACAGTTTGTAAAGTTTGAAATTTTTGCGGAAAATCTTTCCAAGTTTCACTAAAATGACTTATCATCTCATGTTTTTCAGTTCCGATCATTGTTCTAGGCTTTATTTTGAACTTCCAGTCTCTATCATGCCTTATTACTGACCATTAAATCTAAATTACAGTTTACCACATGAGGGTGGGAGGTTTCCTGGGGGGCAGCTGTTTCCTGAAGTGTGCCAAATCCCTTTAGAGAATTATTTGGCTGCTGGTGGGATGGATGTCATTCACACTTAACTCTTCCCTCCAGAGCTTTCCCACACTTCGTCTATTAGCATAAAATAGGCATGTGCCCCTCTACAAATGGACTATTTTAGGATCCTATACAGAAACAGTGTGCAACGCCAAGGGTACAGTGCGGGGCTCCTTCAATATACAAATAACTTATTAAATAAGCAATATGTGGACATTAAAGTTAGTGACTTCACATTTTAGACACATAAATAATTAGTTAATAAAATGCTGAAAGCTCATGTTGTTTTACTGGGTCGGGGTCTGAACATCAGGGTGCAAAGTGTCATTGTGCAATATATTTTCCACTGAAGTCATAATTAATGTGAGAGGAAGTCGTTAGCCTACACCTCATGTGCCAAACATTTTGTAGCTAACTAGTCAAAAATTAACATTAGAATATGGTCTTGCCAAATGATGTAGACATTTCTGTGTGTTAAACTGCCTCTAAGCATGTGGACCACTGGGAATTTGTTTTTCAGCTTGTAGCTGTTCAAAGTCAAACTGTAATGACGTTGTAATTCTGACAAACATAACATTTAATTAACCAGATTATTATGTTTAAATGTTTTTAACATGTTAACTTACACAGTCTGACAGGAACTTTTTCAAACACCGCTAAAACTATTGGCTCCTAACAGATGAAATTATCTTACTGTAAAAATTGGAAATGCTCATTTAAAATCAAAAGTGAGATTCAAAAATAAATTCCACTTTTTGGAGCCATGATCCATTCTCTGTCTCTTCAGGGCAAAGGTCTGGATCTATTGACCCACAGAGCTCTGTGAGTGAGTTTCCTCTGGTTTCCCACACTTTGTCCTTTCACTGCTTTCACTGGAGGAACAATAGAAGTGTGTCTTATTATGCATCTCAAATGTCTAACCTCTTTAAAGAGGGAAATCGTAAAATTTAAACATTTAGCATTGAAACACCTGAAACTGATAGTTAGACCAGAATAACAGTGCAGCAAAATTGCCTTTAAAATGTGCTTCTTCTCATTTGCTTTGTTGACGTTACTTAATTGAACCACATTACTATTCTAAATTTTACCCTAAACAGGTATGTTGTGGTATGTGTGTGTTGAAATTTATCTTAATGTAGGAACAATATGGGGGGGGGGTCTCTGTCAATTTAGTGACAGTAAGAAATTAATGTAGTAAGACTCTTTCATCACCACAAACACAATGACATGAGAACACAAGATATTCAGCTGACAGTGTTTGTTTATTCAACAAGGCACAATGAGCCACATGAAGTAAGAAAGCTCCAACTAGAGGTGATGATACATCACAACAACAACTTGTAGATTTCTACAAGACACACTGTACTCAGAGAGAGTAAAGGAACAGCTGTCTTTATAAAAGACAAACGATTTACAATATTTGAGGACACAGTACTCACTGTCCTTTGAGAGTTTCTTCACAAAAGAATTAAAACATTTGCACTTTGCAAACAAAATGAAAACATAGTAAAAACTGATCTTAAAACAGATCACATCATTCTTATAACCATTAAATTCAACTGATTCTCAAAATGTAAATAATACATTGTCACTGGAAAACTGTGACAGTGTGACATCAAACAAACCTTTAACACTAAAAGGATAAACATATTGATCTTAAAACAGATCATTGTTCAATAATCACATAAAGTGAGAGAAAGTCCATTAAGACAAAATGTCCATAAAAAGGACAATTCAGATTATTGATCTAAATGATCATTAGTTATCAAGAGGTAACAAATATCACCAATTCAATGTTTTAGTAATATGGAATATGCAGTGACTTAAAAAAGTGTCACAGAGAAATTGTCACATTAATTAAACCTTTTAAAAAAAGGATAAACATATTGATCTTAAAACAGATCATTGTTCAATAATCACATAAAGTGAGAGAAAGTCCATTAAGACAAAATGTCCATAAAAAGGACAATTCAGATTATTGTCTATATGATCATTAGTAATCAAGAGGTAACAAATATCACCAATTCAGTATGTTTTAGTAATGTGGAACATGGAGTGAATTATAAAAGTGTCACAGAGAAATTGTGAGATAAATTAAACCTTTTAGGAAAAAAGGATAAACATTTAGATCTTATAACAGATCAGTTTTAAGTGATCACACATTAATGTGACTTAATGTCCATTATGACAATATGTCCTTAAAAAGGACAGTTCAAGTTTCTGATCAGTATGATCAATAACAATCAAAAGATAACAGATGTTAAATATACTACCAATACATGAAGTACAGTGAGGTATAATAATAATTGCTGATGCAATCAGATATGTTCATGCAACATGCATGACAAGATGTTCTCTTTCTTAACATGAAAGATATTGTTGCTGTCATTTCCTTAGGAAATATCATCTTGCACCAAGAAAAACACAAAATACAACCTTCTGTACACACAGAAGAACAAGTTCATACAATTTCAAAGAATTCAGTCCAGTAATCTTTGACCAATGTGGTCATCTGAGTTTGTCTGGTAGTAACTCCAGAATGTAGGTGTCTACCACGGCCTCCAGAGGGCGCTGTGGACTGGACTCTTGTCTTTGGTGATGCTGGTCTGGACTGTGGAGCTCAGAAGAGAGAAGTCAGCCTCTCTCAGGTTCTTATCAGAGGAAGACTGCAGCTTGTTGAAGTGGTTCAGCAGTCTTCTCTGGGACTGTGTCTTCACCTGTTCCTTGGACAGGAAGTGTGTCACCTCTTGGACACACCTGGAGTAGCCCTGATCAACAGCTGCTGAGTCCACAGCTTGATGCTGCTGCTGCAGTCGTCTCAGGACACAAACTGTCATCTCCAGGATGTCTGCTTTCTCCAGCTTGGAGTCTGGCTGCTGTTTGAGGAACTCTGGATCCAGGAGAGACTTGAGCTGCTCAATGCTGCTGTTGATTCGCTCTCTGCGTAACTTTTCCACCAGAGGTTTTCTGAGCTGCAGAAAGAAGAAGAAAGTCATTAATAAACTTATTCTGGATCATAGCGTTAATATAAAACAAGATAACATCTCATTAACAATATTTAAATCTTCTTGAATCTTCAATTTACCTTGTGGGTCAGAGTCAGATGCTCCTGAGAATTGGTCATTGCTGCAGTGATTGTAGGTGCCATAGCTGGATCTCTGTGCTGTAGAGGTCTCTGTAGAGAGAATCTGATCTCTGCTGGCTTCTTCCCTCCTATTTATAGTCCCACATCTCCATATGAATGTGTGGGTCTTGGTCTGGCTGGAGTTTCTCACAGTCTGTAGCCAATGAGAGAGCTTGGGGAGACAATCCGGCGTGTGGAGCTGCAGCACGTTGAATGCTTTCATTGCCTGGGGGACAATGGTTAGATCTCTGGGGAACAGGTGGAGGGCTGGGGGGGTGATGGAGAGAGACTCACAGAGCTCTGTGTGACTCTGGGAAAGTGGTGACCCTGTAGAGAGCAGATCTGCTGCCTGATGCTGGGATCAATGACTTTGACTGAGCACACGCTGAACATGCCTTCAGACACGTGGGGGACGGACAACTATGTGCATGTAGGGTAAAAAGTCCTTTATAATTTAGAAATAACTCAAATAAATACATAGTGGAAACCGATTTTTGAGTCTAAATGCTAATGCTGAGTTGTTACCTAAACTCAAGGAAGTACAATTCATGTCATTTATCCTTATTTCTTTCTTAATAAGTCAGTTTCAGTGTTCATATAATAGGATCTGACTTTTTTCTTAATTTTTGATAATTTAAATGCTGTATTTTGGAAAGTTAATTCTATTAGGTGTTAGAAAATATTTTTGATGGCCTTGCTGCATTTAAAAGTTATCTTTTTAGAAAACCCTAAGAACAACAATCAATCTGCTGTCCAGAATCTAACACAGTCCTCTGGCTTGTGTCTTGTATTGACTGGTAAAAAATATTGCATATCTTCAATATAACTGCATTCAATAATCATCAGAAATAGATTTTTATATCAGTGTTTTTGCATTGTGTGATAAGCCAGTCAAATGCCAGTTTTGCCCTTTATCTTCCATATTGTCCCAATTATTCACTTAGAACTTTCACTTTATATTAGTCTAGTCTTTTTTCTTAAATCTTTATGTAATGACTGCATTTAGGAAAGATAATTGTCTTAGGTGTTAAAAATATTGAGATTCCCATTGCATTTAAAATATATTTTAAAAACCCTTAGATCAGCAGTCATTCTGCTGTCCAGATGTGACAAAGTCTTCTGACTTGTGTCTTGTAGTCAGTCTGGGTAGAAAGTTGGTCGCACTTTCCCACACTGACTGCCTGAATGCTGTGGTCAGTGAACAACAAAAGGTCTTTGAATGGAGCCTGATGTCACCAACCATCTGGAGGGAAAGAACACCATTGGCTGCTTCTGACTGGTTGTATAGATTTAGACTGTCAGGAAAATGTTATCAGTAAGCATCAGCTCAGTTGATTTGGAAGATTATTTAGTGAATTTCCAATCATCGCACATTATTACCATCCACCCATAACTGTTCCTTTCTATCAGTAACTGGATAAACTTTCAGCTCTATGGATGAGGGTGGGAGGTTGAGGCAGCTGTTTCATGAAGTGTGCCAAATTCCTTTGGAGAATAGTCTGCTGCTGGTGGGGTTGAGGATGCTAATCATGCTAAACTCTGTTTTTCTGGGTTTTCCCACACTCTGTACATTAAAAGATATTTAAATGTGTTTCTAAATCCGACAGACATTTTGAGGATTCTCTGTTTTTTAAGGGGTCATTGATTTTTTTCTGTTGATTTTTTGTCTTTTTTACAGTCTACAGTTCATCAGGGTTAAATCAAAAAATACATAAAGTCAAAATTGGGATCACTGAAAACAAAGAAATGCTTATTAAATATATCATGTTAATATAACCAGTATAGACTGATGTCAACATGTGATAGTAGTTTAAGTCATATTCTTTCAACTAAACACTGACGTCTCAGTATCAGTACTGAACAATTTTCTAGTGTCTTGTCTTCAAAGGCAAATTATTATATGGCCTGAAATGTTAGTGAAATTAAACAAAGCAAAATCCTACACTAGAAATTCTGAAAAACAATCCCTTTTCACAAATTATTTCACTGACGGAAACATATTCAATTAGTTTTCAAACCCCAACTTTAGAAAAAGGCAGTATACCGGTATGTGACATTTGTAAAAGGATTTTTTTCCCTTGGAAAAAAGGTAAAATGTTGAATATTGATTATGATTTGAAAGATGTTTGGAAGATTCAGTTTTGGAGCCAGGGTCCTTTTAATCTCTGTCTCTTCAGGGCAAAGGTCTGGATCTATTGTCCCACAGGGCTCTGTGAGTGTGCTTCCTCTGGTTTCCCACACGCTGGCCTTTCACTGGAGGAACAATAGAAGTGTGTCGTATTATGCATCTAAGATACAATGTCTGACCTCTTTAAAGAGGGAAATGGTTAACTTTAAACTTTTTACATTCAAATACCTGAAATTGACAGTTACAGCAGAATAATGGTGCAAGAAAACCGTCTTTGAATTGTTCTTTGTCTCATTTACTTTCATGATTTGGCTTAATTGAACCACATTGCTTTGGCTTTTCTCTAACCAGGTAAGTAATGGATAAATAGTTACTGTATGTGCTGAATTTGACCTTTATTTGTCAATCCAATGTAGGTATATTAATGGAGGCCTCTATCAATGAAGTGACAAAGAAAAATACATTTAGGAATTCTGTTTTGCATCATAATAACAAGTATGTAACCGTGACACACAATAACATAAGAACACAAGATATTCAGCTGACAGTGTTTGTTTATTCAACAAGGCACAATGAGCCACATGAAGTAAGAAAGCTCCAACTAGAGGTGATGATACATCACAACAACAACTTGTAGATTTCTACAAGACACACTGTACTCAAAGAGAGTAAAGGAACAGCTGTCTTTATAAAAGACAAACGATTTACAATATTTGAGGACACAGTACTCACTGTCCTTTGAGAGTTTCTTCACAAATGGATCAAAACATTTTCACTTTGCAAACAAAATGAAAAACATGTAAAAACTGATCTTAAAACAGATCACATTATTCTTATAACCATTAAATTCAATTGATTCTCAAAATGTAAATAATACATTGTCACTGGAAAACTGTGACAGTGTGACATCAAACAAACCTTTAACACTAAAAGGATAAACATATTGATCTTAAAACAGATCATTGTTCAATAATCGCATAAAGTAAGAGAAAGTCCATTAAGACAAAATGTCCATAAAAAGGACAATTAAGATTTTTGATGTATTTCAAAATCATCATTACTAATCAAAAGGTAACAAATATCACCAATTCAGTATGTTTTAGTAATATGGAACATGCAGTGAATTATAAAAGTATCACAGAGAAATTGTGACATTAATTAAACCATTTAGAAAAAAAGAATAAACATTTTGATCTTATAACAGATCAGTTTTAAGTGATCACACATTAAAGTGAGTTAAAGTCAATTCTGACAAAATGTCCATAAAAAGGACAGTTCAAGTTTTCTGATCAGTATGATCAATAATAATCAAAAGATAACAGATGTTACCATAGAATATACTACCAATACATGAAGTACAGTGAGGTATAATAATAATTGCTGATGCAATCAGATATGTTCATGCAACATGCATGACAAGATGTTCTCTTTCTTAACATGAAAGATATTGTTGCTGTCATTTCCTTAGGAAATATCATCTTGCAACAAGAAAAACACAAAATACAACCTTCTGTACACACAGAAGAACAAGTTCATACAATTTCAAAGAATTCAGTCCAGTAATCTTTGACCAATGTGGTCATCTGAGTTTGTCTGGTAGTAACTCCAGAATGTAGGTGTCTACCACGGCCTCCAGAGGGCGCTGTTGACTGGACTCTTATCTTTGGTGCTGCTGGTCTGGACTGTGGAGCTCAGAAGAGAGAAGTCAGCCTCTCTCAGGTTCTTATCAGAGGAAGACTGCAGCTTGTTGAAGTGGTTCAGCATTCTTCTCTGCTGTTGATTCTGCTGCTGCAGTCGTCTCAGGACACAAACTGTCATCTCCAGGATGTCTGCTTTCTCCAGCTTGGAGTCTGGCTGCTGTTTGAGGAACTCTGGATCCAGGAGAGACTTGAGCTGCTCAATGCTGCTGTTGATTCGCTCTCTGCGTAACTTTTCCACCAGAGGCTTTTTGAGCTGCAGAAAGAAGAAGAAAGTCATTAATAAACTTATTCTGGAACATAGCATTAATATAAAACAAGATAACATCTCATTAACAATATTTAAATCTTCTTGAATCTTCAATTTACCTTGTGGGTCAGAGTCAGATGCTCCTGAGAATTGGTCATTGCTGCAGTGATTGTAGGTGCCATGGCTGGATCTCTGTGCTGTAGAGGTCTCTGTAGAGAGAATCTGATCTCTGCTGGCTTCATCCATCCTATTTATAGTCCCACATCTACATATGAATATGTGGGTCTTGGTCTGGTTGAAGTTTCTCACAGTCTGTAGCCAATCACGGAGTCAAACAAGAGAAATACATTTGTTAAACTGCCACATGCTTAGTGGTCCTTTTAGATGGGGACAATGGTTAGATCTCAGGGGAACAGGTGGAGGACGGGGGGGGGGAGTGATGGAGAGAGACTCTGTGTGAATCTGGGAAAGTGGTGACCCTGTAGAGAGCAGATCTGCTGCCTGATGCTGAGATCAATGACTCTGACTGAGCACACGCTCATCATCCCATCACATGAGTGGTGGAATAACATCCATGGTTTAATGTATGAAATATATTTAGAATCAAAATGAATACAAAAAATTATGATTTTTTTTTTTTTTTTGCCAAAACCTTAAATCATCAATTGAATTCCCTGTATTTTGAGTTGATATTTTAGATATTTTCTTTTCTTTTCTTAGTTAATTAATGTTTCTTCTGTTTTGTTTCATCAAAAATACAGGATTTTGCAACAGAATAAGACATTAGAGAACATTGTGATGCCCATTCATGGCACTTAAAGTCAAGAAAATAATCATGATGCTGTCCAGATGTAGCAGTCTTGACACGTGCCATATAGTCGGCGTGAGTAACAAGTAAAGCCCAGTTTCCCACACTGACTGCCTGTATGGTCAATGAACCACAAAGGGACTTTAGTGACAGATGCTGGCTGTGTGTTGTTATTGAAACAGAGTCTGACATCACCAGCCATCTGGAGGGAAACGACACCATTGGCTGGCTCTGACAGTTTGTAAAGTTTGAAATTTTTGCGGAAAATCTTTCCAAGTTTCAGTAAAATGACTTATCATCTCATGTTTTTCAGTTCCAATCATTGTTCTAGACTTTATTTTGAACTTCCAGTCTCTATCATGCCTTATTACTGACCATTAAATCTAATTAGAGTTTACCACATGAGGGTGGGAGGTTTCCTGGGGGGCAGCTGTTTCCTGAAGTGTGCCAAATCCCTTTAGAGAATTATTTGGCTGCTGGTGGGATGGATGTCATTCACACTTAACTCTTCCCTCCAGAGCTTTCCCACACTTTGTCTATTAGCATAAAATAGGCATGTGCCCCTCTAAAAATGGACTGTTTTAGGATCCTATACAGAAACAGTGTGCAACGCCAAGGGTACAGTGCGGGGCTCCTTCAATATACAAATAACTTATTAAATAAGCAATATGTGGACATTAAAGTTAGTGACTTCACATTTTAGACACATAAATAATTAGTTAATAAAATGCTGAAAGCTCATGTTGTTTTACTGGGTCGGGGTCTGAACATCAGGGTGCAAAGTGTCATTGTGCAATATATTTTCCACTGAAGTCATAATTAATGTGAGAGGAAGTCGTTAGCCTACACCTCATGTGCCAAACATTTTTGTAGCTAACTAGTCAAAAATTAACATTAGAATATGGTCTTGCCAAATGATGTAGACATTTCTCTGTGTTAAACTGCCTCTAAGCATGTGGACCACTGGGAATTTGTTTTTCAGCTTGTAGCTGTTCAAAGTCAAACTGTAATGACGTTGTAATTCTGACAAACATAACATTTAATTAACCGGATTATTATGTTTAAATGTTTTTAACATGTTAACTTACACAGTCTGACAGGAACTTTTTCAAACATCGCTAAAACTATTGGCTCCTAACAGATGAAATTATCTTACTGTAAAAAGTGGAAATGCTCATTTAAAATCAAAAGTGAGATTCAAAAATAAATTCCACTTTTTGGAGCCATGATCCATTCTCTGTCTCTTCAGGGCAAAGGTCTGGATCTATTGACCCACAGAGCTCTGTGAGTGAGTTTCCTCTGGTTTCCCGCACTTTGTCCTTTCACTGCTTTCACTGGAGGAACAATAGAAGTGTGTCTTATTATGCATTCCATTAGATTCAATGTTTGACCTCCTTAATGAGTGCATGGTTTACTTTAAACTTTTTCTACTAAAACATCTGAAACTGACAATCATGACAAAATAATGGTGCAGCAAGAGTGCCTTCAAAATGTAGTTTCTCTCATGTGCTTTGATGACTTGAGTTATTCCATATAAATATGTAATGCTGACACTTCTTCAATATTAAAAATCTTCATTGATCCACATTAGTATACTTGCTGTTACCCTAAACAGATATGTCATGGATAACAAGTTACTTTGAGTGCTGAACTTTATCTTGAATTGTAAATCAAAGGTAGCAATTATGGACGTCTCTATAATGAAGTGGAAATAAAAACACGTGTAGAATGTCTTTCTTTCGTCATGTTGAGAGTGTAGTCATGACACACAATGACATGAGAAGGCAACATTTTCAGCGGGCAATGTTTGTTTATTCAACAAGGCACAATGAGCCACATGAAGTAAGAAGGCTTCAACTAGAGGTGATGATACATCACAACAACAACTTGTAGATTTCTACAAGACACACTGTACTCAGAGAGAGTAAAGGAACAACTGTCTTTATAAAAGACAAACGATTTAATATATTTGAGGACACAGTACTCACTGTCCTTTGAGAGTTTCCTCACAAAAGAATTAAAACATTTGCACTTTGCAAACAAAATGAAAAACGTGTAAAAACTGATCTTAAAACAGATCACATTATTATTATAACCATTAAATTCAACTGATTCTCAAAATGTAAATATGACCTTGTCACTGGAAAACTGTGACAGTGTGACATCAAACAAACCTTTAACACTAAAAGGATAAACATATTGATCTTAAAACAGATCATTGTTCAATAATCACATAAAGTGAGAGAAAGTCCATTAAGACAAAATGTCCATAAAAAGGACAATTCAGATTCTTGATCTAAATGATCATTAGTAATCAAGAGGTAACAAATATCACCAATTCAGTATGTTTTAGTAATATGGAACATGCAGTGAATTATAAAAGTATCACAGGAAAATTGTGACATTAATTAAACCTTTTAGGAAAAAAGGATAAACATTTAGATCTTATAACAGATCAGTTTTAAGTGATCACACATTAATGTGACTTAATGTCCATTATGACAATATGTCCTTAAAAAGGACAGTTCAAGTTTCTGATCAGTACGATCAATAACAATCAAAAGATAATATACTACCAATACATGAAGTACAGTGAGGTATAATAATAATTACTGATGCAATCAGATATGTTCATGCAACATGCATGACAAGATGTTCTCTTTCTTAACATGAAAGATATTGTTGCTGTCATTTCCTTAGGAAATATCATCTTGCACCAAGAAAAACACAAAATACAACCTTCTGTACACACAGAAGAACACGTTCATACAATTTCAAGGAATTCAGTCCAGTAATCTTTGACCAATGTGGTCATCTGAGTTTGTCTGGTAGTAACTCCAGAATGTAGGTGTCTACCACGGCCTCCAGAGGGCGCTGTGGACTGGACTCTTGTCTTTGGTGATGCTGGTCTGGACTGTGGAGCTCAGAAGAGAGAAGTCAGCCTCTCTCAGGTTCTTATCAGAGGAAGACTGCAGCTTGTTGAAGTGGCTCAGCAGTCTTCTCTGAGACTGTGTCTTCACCTGTTCCTTGGACAGGAAGTGTGTCACCTCTTGGACACACCTGGAGTAGCCCTGATCAACAGCTGCTGAGTCCACAGCTTGATGCTGCTGCTGCAGTCGTCTCAGGACACAAACTGTCATCTCCAGGATGTCTGCTTTCTCCAGCTTGGAGTCTGGCTGCTGTTTGAGGAACTCTGGACCCAGGAGAGACTTGAGTTGCTCAATGCTGCTGTTGATTCGCTCTCTGCGTAACTTTTCCACCAGAGGTTTTCTGAGCTGCAGAAAGAAGAAGAAAGCCATTAATAAACTTATTCTGGAACATAATGTTAATATAAAACAAGATAACATCTCATTAACAATATTTAAATCTTCTTGAATCTTCAATTTACCTTGTGGGTCAGAGTCAGATGCTCCTGAGAATTGGTCATTGCTGCAGTGATTGTAGGTGCCATGGCTGGATCTCTGTGCTGTAGAGGTCTCTGTAGAGAGAATCTGATCTCTGCTGGCTTCATCCCTCCTATTTATAGTCCCACATCTCCATATGAATGTGTGGGTCTTGGTCTGGTGGAAGTTTCTCACAGTCTCAGCCAATCAGAGAGCTTGGTAAGCCAATATATTATTGACTCATTGAATTACTTTATTACCTAGGGAACAATGGTTAGATCTCAGGGGAACAGGTGGAGGACTGGGGGGGTGATGGAGAGAGAATCACAGAGCTCTGTGCGAATGTGGGAAAGTGGTGACCCTGTAGAGAGCAGATCTGCTGTCTGATGCTGGGATCAGTGACTTTGACTGAGCACACGACCGTCATCCCATCACACACGTTGGGGAATAACATTTATGGTGTAATGTTCGAAAATGCATGTATAACAAATACAAAAAGTGTGTGGATTTCTTTGGTGCTTTTATTTAACTAAAACCTAAAATGCAGGAGGTGAAATCAATCAACTTTGAATTTAAAGTTTATTGAAATATTTCATTTACATTTTTTTGGTTGATCAATGGTCAGTTTTGCTTAATCAAAAATATCATACTCATAAATATGAATAAGATTTTACAAAACAGTAATTTGTTAGATAACATCAATGCACTTTAAATAAAGTCAAGACAATAATCGTGCAGCAGTCCAGATGTAGCAGTCTTTTGACACGTGCCATATAGTCGGTGTGAGTAAGCGGTAGACCTCAGTTTCCCACACTGACCACAAAGGGACTTCAAAGAGAGATACTGGCTGTGTGTTGTTATGGAAACAGAGCCTGACATCACCAACCATCTGGAGGGAAACGACACCATTGGCTGGCTCTGTAAATGTGAACGTTTTTGTGAAAAATCTGTGATAAAGTTTCACAAAAATGATTTATTTCTCAGTTTCTAATCATTGTTGGTACATTTTGAACCTCCAGTCAAAATCATGCCTCATTACTGACCATCAAATGTATATTTTAGCTCTATACATGAGGGTGGGAAGTTTCCTGGGGGGCAGCTGTTTCCTGAAGTGTGCCAAATCCCTTTGGAGAATTATTTGGCTGCTGGTGGGTTGGATGTCATTGACACTAAACTCTGCTCTCAAGAGCTTTCCCACACTCCATCCATTAGCAGAAAATAGGCATGTGCCCCTCTAGAAATGGACTTTTTGAGTTTCCTCCTTTTTGCCACAAACATTGTGGGCACCCCCTTAGAACAACCAATTAACCAACACATTAAAGTGAACACTTAAATATTACTAAAAAATGCTAATTATTTATTGCACATTTAAGAGACTTTATTTCCACTTGTGTAATAATTAATGTGACAGGAAGTGGATGATGGACACTACTCCACGTGCAAAAGTTGACTTTGCTTGCTACTATAAAAATGTATTTCAAAAATAGTCTTCAATTATTGAGCAATGTTAGTTCTGATTTACTCTCACTTTCCCTTTTAACAAAGTGGCCTTGATATTTCTCTGTGTGTAACACCCTCTTAGAATATGAATCCTGTGTGGTAGTTCAAGTGTTTATTGATCAAAGCCAGAGTAACATGAGATTGTAATTCTAACAAACATGGTATTAACTGAAGTTAACGAAATTGTGTTTTAATATGCTGAACAGGCTAACTTACTTATTGTGCTGAAAGTATTGGCCCTCACTAGATGAAATCCTAATATTTTAAGAAGTGGAACTGCTCATATATATCAGAGCAACAGTTAAAACTAAAGCCATGATTTCAAATAAATTTCAGTTTTGGAGCCGGGCTCCTTTTAATGTCTCTTCAGGGCAAAGGTCTGGATCTATTGTCCCACAGGGCTCTGTGAGTGAGGTTCCTCAGGTTTCCCACAGTTTGTCCTTTCACCGCTTTCACTGGAGGAACAATGGAAGTGTGTCGTATTATGCATCCTATTAGTGTCTGAATTCTTTATGGAGGGAAATGGTTAACTTTTAACTTTTTAAATAGAAACACTTTAAAGTGACAATTATACCAAAAGGATGTTAAAGCAAAATTGTCTTTGAATTGGAAATTGTTCCAATTTAGTTTGACGACTTGGTTTGCTCCATATGAACACATTAACATAACACTGAGAATCCCTCCACTTTTCAAATTCATTTAAATGTATTATAGTTAGTTTCACACTAAACAGGTATGTTATGGATGAATAATTAGTCTGTGTTCAGAATGTTTACCTAAATTTGTTAATCAAGGGAGGAACAACAATGGATGGATCTAACAATTCAGAAAAATTTAGAAAATTCTCTCTTTTAAAATAGTAAAGAGGGTAGTCAGGATATGTAATAAATTAAAATACTGTATTTTGGAAAATGGATTTGCTTGGGAGTTAAAAATATTGACATTCCCATGATGCGTTGAAAAGTTATTTCAGAAAACTTGAGAACAACGATCATTTTGCTGTCCAGATGTAGCACAGTCTTCTGACATGTCTTTTCTAGTCATTGTGAGTAGAAAGTTCTCAGTTGGTCTCACTTTCTCACACTGACTCCCTGAATGCTGTGATCAGTGAACAACAAAAGGACTTTGAATGGAGCTTTTGTGACTGATACTGGGCGTGTGTTGTAGTAGAAACAGGGCCTGACGGCACCAACCATCTGGAGGGAAAGAACTCCATTGGCTGCTTCTGGCTGGTTGTATAGATTGAGACTATCGGGAAAATTTTATCATTTAGAATCAGCTCAGTTGATTTGGAAGATTATTTAGTGAACTTCCAATCGTCGCACATTATTACCATCCACCCATAACTGTTCCTTTCTATTAGTAACTAGATAAACTTTCAGCTCTATGGATGAGGTTGGGAGGTTGAGGCAGCTGTTTCATGAAGTGTGCCAAATTCCTTTGGAGAATAGTCTGCTACTGGTGGGGTTGAAGATGTTAATCATGCTAAACTCTGTTTTCCAGGGTTGACTCACACTCTGTACATTCAAGTTTAGATGTTTTTCTAAATCCAAATACACCTTTTCAGGATTCTGTGTTTTTTAGAGGTCATTGGTGTTTTTCTTTGTCTTTTTTACAGTCTACAGTCTGAATATGATTTGAAAGATATTAGAAGGATTCAGTTTTGGAGCCAGGTTCCTTTTAATCTCTGACCCTTCAGGGCAAAGGTCTGGATCTATTGTCCCACAGGGCTCTGTGAGTGAGCTTCCTCTGGTTTCCCACACTTTGGCCTTTCACTGGAGGAACAATAGAAGTGTGTCTTATGATGCATCTCATTAGATACAATGTAGGACCTTTTTATACAGTGAACTTTTAACTTTGAACTTTTTAGATTAAAAAAAAACGAAATAATTTTGTAGCAAAAGTGTCTTTGAAATATACTTGTTCTTACCATTAACAGTACTTAATTAAATCACATTACTATTCTTACTTTTACCTTGTGATGATGGAGGCCTCTATCAATTAATGTAGTAAGTTTCTTTCTTCATCATAAACAAGGTAATGACACACAATGACATGAGAACACAAGATATTCAGCTGACAGTGTTTGTTTATTCAACAAGGCACAATGAGCCACATGAAGTAAGAAAGCTCCAACTAGAGGTGATGATACATCACAACAACAACTTGTAGATTTCTACAAGACACACTGTACTCAGAGAGAGTAAAGGAACAACTGTCTTTATAAAAGACAAACGATTTACAATATTTGAGGACACAGTACTCACTGTCCTTTGAGAGTTTCTTCACAAATGGATCAAAACATTTTCACTTTGCAAACAAAATGAAAACATAGTAAAAACTGATCTTGAAACAGATCACATCATTCTTATAACCATTAAATTCAACTGAATTTCAAAATATAAAACTTGTATTGTCACTGGACAATTGTGACATTAAACAAACCTTTAATACTAAAAGGATAAAACATCATAAAACAGATCATTGTTCAATAATCACATAAAGTGAGAGAAAGTCCATTAAGACAAAATGTCCCTAAAAAGGACAATTAAGATTCTTGATCTATATGATCATTAGTAATCAAGAGGTAACAAATATTACTAATTCAATATGTTTTAGTAATATGGAACATGCAGTGAATTATAAAAGTGTCACAGAGAAATTGTGACATTAATTAAACCTTTTAGAAAAAAAGGATAAACCTTTGGATCTTATAACAGATCAGTTTTAAGTGATCACACATTAATGTGAGTTAAAGTCAATTATGACAATATGTCCATAAAAAGGACAGTGAAAGTTTCTGATCAGTACGATCAATAACAATCAAAAGATAACAGATGTTACCATAGAATATACTACCAATACATGAAGTATAGTGAGGTATAATAATAATTGCTGAGGCAATCAGATATGTTCATGCAACATGCATGACAAGATGTTCTCTTTCTTAACATGAAAGATATTGTTGCTGTCATTTCCTTAGGAAATATCTTCTTGCACCAAGAAAAACACAAAATACAACCTTCTGTACACACAGAAGAACAAGTTCATACAATTTCAAAGAATTAAGTCCTGTAATCTTTGACCAACGTGGTCATCTGAGTTTGTCTGGTAGTAACTCCAGAATGTAGGTGTCTACCACGGCCTCCAGAGGGCGCTGTTGACTGGACTCTTGTCTTTGGTGATGCTGGTCTGGACTGTGGAGCTCAGAAGAGAGAAGTCAGCCTCTCTCAGGTTCTTATCAGAGGAAGACTGCAGCTTGTTGAAGTGGTTCATCAGTCTTCTCTGGGGCTGTGTCTTCACCTGTTCCTTGGACAGGAAGTGTGTCACCTCTTGGACACACCTGGAGTAGCCCTGATCAACAGCTGCTGAGTCCACAGCTTGATGCTGCTGCTGCAGTCGTCGCAGGACACAAACTGTCATCTCCAGGATGTCTGCTTTCTCCAGCTTGGAGTCTGACTGCTGTTTGAGGAACTCTGGACCCAGGAGAGACTTGAGCTGCTCAATGCTGCTGTTGATTCGCTCTCTGCGTAACTTTTCCACCAGAGGCTTTCTGAGCTGCAGAAAGAAGAAGAAAGTCATTAATAAACTTATTCTTGAACATAGTGTTAACATAAAACAAGATAACATCTCATTAACAATATTTGAATCTTCTTGAATCTTCAATTTACCTTGTGGGTCAGAGTCAGATGCTCCTGAGAATTGGTCATTGCTGCAGTGATTGTAGGTGCCATGGCTGGATCTCTGTGCTGTAGAGGTCTCTGTAGAGAGAATCTGATCTCTGCTGGCTTCATCCCTCCTTTATAGTCCCACATCTCCATATGAATGTGTGGGTCTTGGTCTGGTTGGAGTTTCTCACAGTCTCAGCCAATCAGAGAGCTAGATGGGACAATGAAGGAGGCAGCACCGTGAACGTTGTAATTGCCTGGGGGACAATGGTTAGATCTCGGGGGAACAGGTGGAGGACTGGGGGCGTGATGGAGAGAGACTAACAGAGCTCTGTGTGAATCTGGGAAAGTGGTGACCCTGTAGAGAGCAGATTTGCTGCCTGATGCTGGGATCAATGACTGACTGAGCACACGCTCATCATCCCTTCGCACATGTGGGAGGACAATTAGTTGCATTTGGGGTAACAAGTACAGCATAACCTACATATTAGTACATTCAGTAATCACGGGAAACTTCTATGTCTAAATTATAGTTTTGTGCATAAGCAAAAATCCAATTAGTATCATATATGTTTTTTTCCCACACATTGTCATTCAGGTAAAGTGTCATTTAATATAATTTATGTTCTTTCTCAGAATTTTTAAATGATTAAAAGATTATATATTGGGAAATTAATTCTCTTCATTGTTAAAAAATATCGTCATGCCTGTGATGATATTTTAAAAACTTACGAACACTCATAATATTTCTGTCCAGATGTGACAAAGTCTTCTGACTTGTGTCTTGTAGTCAGTGTGGGTAGAAAGGTGGTCTCACTTTCCCACACTGACTCCCTGAATGCTGTGGTCAATGAACTACAAAAGGACTTTGAATGGAGCTTTTGTGACTGATACTGGACGTGTGTTTTAGTAGAAACAGAGCCTGACGTCACCAACCATCTGGAGGGAAAGAACTCCATTGGCTGCTTCTGACTGGTTGTGTAGATTTAACTTATGAAGAAAATGTTATTACAAATAATGAGATCGATTTATTTGGAAGATTATTTAGTGAACTTCCAATCGCCACACATCCACTCCTAACTGTTCCTTTCTATCAGTAACTGGATAAACTTTCAGCTCTATGGATGAGGGTGGGAGGTTGAGGCAGCTGTTTCATGAAGTGTGCCAAATCCCTTTGGAGAATAGTCTGCTGCTGGTGGGGTTGAAGATGCTAATCATGCTAAACTCTTTTCTCCAGAGTTTTCCCACACTCTGTATGTTTATATAAAGCAAGCCACGTGCCTCAATCAAAATACAATTTGGAGGAGACTCATTTTAATACATGGATGTCATTAGTTTTTTGTTCGTTTGTTTTTTGTTTTTTTTAATTAACAGATCATCAAAATTTTGTTTGAAAATATACAAAGTTGAAAATTGTGAGTAAGATACCCAACATAGACTTTGCACATGTAATTTAAATGTTCAAAAAGGTTTTTCTATCATTTTAACCACTGAGGACAAAATGTCATACTTGACTGTGGTCATACTTATTCAGCAAACCAGTGACGTTCTTGGTTTATATTTTGAAATATATTGTCTTCCTTACTGGCTTGTGTTCTATTGCAAAATATTGTAGGGCTATAATCCTGACATGTTTGTGAGATTAAATAAAAATCTAAGATTTTACGCGTTAAATTAAAATGTATAACAATCTGGTTTCACAATTTACTTACCTACAGAAACATTTTTATGACTTTGCTTATCCCCATCCTTACAAAATGGCAATATTTCAGAAACTGGTAAAAGTGTTTATTATCTTTGGAAAAAGTTCAAATGTTGAATTTATTTGAAACATGTTAGGAAGATTTGGTTTTGGAGTCAGGCTCCTTTTAATCTCTGTCTCTTCAGGGCAAAGGTCTTGATCTATTGTCCCACAGGGCTCTGTGAGTGAGTTTCCTCTGGTTTCCCACACTCTGTCCTTTCACTGCTTTCCCTGGAGGAACAATAGAAGTGTGTCTTATTATGCATCTCAAATGTCTAACCTCTTTAAAGAGGGAAATAGTTAACTTAAACATTTTGCATAGAGACACCTGAAACTGATAGTGAGACCAGAATAACAGTGCAGCAAAATTGTCTTTAAAATGTGCTGCCTCTCATTTGCTTTGTTGACTTTACTTAATTGAACCACATTACTATTCTAAATTTAACCCTATACAGGTATGTTGTGGTATGTGTGTGTTGAAGTGTATCTTAATTTATCAATCAAATGTAGGAACAATAGGGGGGGGTCTCTGTCAATTTAGTGACAATAAGAAATTAATGTAGAAAGACTCTTTCATCATCACAAACACAATGACATGAGAACACAAGATATTCAGCTGGCAGTGTTTCTTTATTCAACAAGGCACAATGAGCCACATGAAGTAAGAAAGTTCCAACTAGAGGTGATGATACATCACAACAACAACTTGTAGATTTCTACAAGACACACTGTACTCAGAGAGAGTAAAGGAACAACTGTCTTTATAAAAGACAAACGATTTACAATATTTGAGGACACAGTACTCACTGTCCTTTGAGAGTTTCTTCACAAATGGATCAAAACATTTTCACTTTGCAAACAAAATGAAAACATAGTAAAAACTGATCTTGAAACAGATCACATCATTCTTATAACCATTAAATTCAACTGAATTTCAAAATATAAAACTAACAATGTCACAGGACAATTGTGACATTAAACAAACCTTTAACAGTAAAAGGATAAAACATCATAAAACAGATCATTGTTCAATAATCACATAAAGTGAGAGAAAGTCCATTAAGACAAAATGTCCATAAAAAGGACAATTAAGATTCTTGATCTATATGATCATTAGTAATCAAGAGATAACAAATACCACCAATTCAATATGTTTTAGTAATATGGAACATGCAGTGAATTATAAAAGTATCACAGAGAAATTGTGACATTAATTAAAGCTTTGAGAAAAAAAGGATTGACATTTTGATCTTATAACAGATCAGTTTTAAGTGATCACACATTAATGTGACTTGATGTCCATTATGACAATATGTCCATAAAAAGGACAGTTAAAGTTTTCCGATCAGTATGATCAATAACAATCAATAACAATCAAAAGATAACAGACGTTACCATAGAATATACTACCAATACATGAAGTACAGTGAGGTATAATAATAATTGCTGATGCAATCAGATATGTTCATGCAACATGCATGACAAGATGTTCTCTTTCTTAACATGAAAGATATTGTTGCTGTCATTTCCTTAGGAAATATCATCTTGCACCAAGAAAAACACAAAATACAACCTTCTGTACACACAGAAGAACAAGTTCATACAATTTCAAAGAATTCAGTCCAGTAATCTTTGACCAATGTGGTCATCTGAGTTTGTCTGGTAGTAACTCCAGAATGTAGGTGTCTACCACGGCCTCCAGAGGGCGCTGTGGACTGGACTCTTGTCTTTGGTGATGCTGGTCTGGACTGTGGAGCTCAGAAGAGAGAAGTCAGCCTCTCTCAGGTTCTTATCAGAGGAAGACTGCAGCTTGTTGAAGTGGTTCAGCAGTCTTCTCTTGGACTGTGTCTTCACCTGTTCCTTGGACAGGAAGTGTGTCACCTCTTGGACACACCTGGAGTAGCCCTGATCAACAGCTGCTGAGTCCACAGCTTGATGCTGCTGCTGCAGTCGTCTCAGGACACAAACTGTCATCTCCAGGATGTCTGCTTTCTCCAGCTTGGAGTCTGGCTGCTGTTTGAGGAACTCTGGATCCAGGAGAGACTTGAGTTGCTCAATGCTGCTGTTGATTCGCTCTCTGCGTAACTTTTCCACCAGAGGCTTTCTGAGCTGCAGAAAGAAGAAGAAAGTCATTAATAAACTTATTCTGGAACATAGTGTTAATATAAAACAAGATAACATCTCATTAACAATATTTAAATCTTCTTGAATCTTCAATTTACCTTGTGGGTCAGAGTCAGATGCTCCTGAGAATTGGTCATTGCTGCAGTGATTGTAGGTGCCATGGCTGGATCTCTGTGCTGTAGAGGTCTCTGTAGAGAGAATCTGATCTCTGCTGGCTTCATCCCTCATATTTATAGTCCCACATCTCCATATGAATGTGTGGGTCTTGGTCTGGCTGGAGTTTCTCACAGTCTCAGCCAATCAGAGAGCTCGGTGAGACAATATATTATTGACTCGTTTAATTATTTTATCGCCTGGGGGACAATGGTTAGATCTCGGGGGAACAGGTGGAGGACTGGGGGGGGTTATGGAGAGAGACTCACAGAGCTCTGCGTGAATCTGGGAAAGTGGTGACCCTGTAGAGAGCAGATCTGCTGTCTGATGCTGGGATCAATGTCTTTGACTGAGCACACGCTCATGATCCCTTCACACACGTTGGGAAATAACATTTATGGTGTAATGTTTGAAATACGTTTTTGATAAAAATGAAGACAAAAGTACAATTCTTTGTTGGGCTTTATTCAGCCTAAACATAAAATGCAGCAGGTGAAATCACTTTGTTTTGAATTGGTCATTTAGCTCGATATTTTATTTTGTTGCTCAGTGTTTCTTCAGCTTTGCTTCATCAAAAATTCTACATTTTACAGAACAGTAAGATTTGAGAGACCAGTGTGATGCCTGTTCATGACCATTAGAATAAAGTGAAGACAATAATCATGATGCTGTCCAGATGTAGCAGTCCTTTGACACGTGCCATATAGTCGATGTGAGTAAGAGGTAGAGCTCAGTTTCCCACACTGACTGCCTGTATGGTCATGGTCAATGAACCACAAAGGGACTTCAGTGACAGATGCTGGCTGAGCCTTACATCACCACCCATCTGGAGGGAAACAACACCATTGGCTTATTCTGACAGTTTATACATTTGTAAAATTTGAAATTTATTTGAACAAAGTTGTCCCAAAATGGTTTATAATCTCATATTTTCAGTTTCTATTCATTCTTGCTGGTTACATTTTGAATCTCCAGTCATAATCATGCCTCATTACTAACCATCATTTAGATGTAAATTTCAACTCTACCCTTTTTGTGGGAGGCTTCTTGAGAGCAGCTGTTTCCTGAAGTGTGCCAAATCCCTTTGGAGAATGACTGCGTGCTGGTTGGATGTCATTGACACTCAACTCTGCCCTCCAGAGCTTTCCCACATACCATCAATTAGCAGAAAATAGGCATGTGTCCCTCTACAAATGGACTTTTTGAGTTTCCTCCTTTTTGCCACAAACATTGTGGGCACCCCCTTAGAACAACCAATCAACCAACACATTAAAGTGAAAACGTATACAATTAAGTATTATTTGAAAATGCAAATAATTTGCTGCACATTTCAGAGACATAGATATGGAATCAATATTGTACAATTGTAAAATCTCCTGTTTGTTCAGTAAGTTGGTGTTTTAACATCAGGACAGATTGTCTGAATATGCCATTTCTTCCCTTTGTGTAATAATTAATGTGACAGGAATGGATGCTGGACACAGTTCTATGTGCAAATTGACTTGGTTTCCTAATATATGAATTCATTTCAAAAATGGTCTTCAATTATTGAGCAATGTCAGTTCTGTTTTACTCTCACTTTCCCTTACAGCATAGTGGTCGAGATATTTCTCTTAGTAGTATATGAACCTTGCGCAGTAGTTTTCATTTTCAGGTGTTTATTGATCAGAGTCTGAGTACCATGAGATTGTGATTCTGATAAACATTGTATTAAGTGAAGTTAACCAGTTGTCATTAATATATTTAACTGGTTAACTTACAAAGTGTAAATTCCAGAAGCTCTTTTCAAACATTGTGCTAAAGGTATTGGTTCTCATTCGATAAAGTCGTACTTTTCTAAAAAGTGGAACTGATCATTTATATCAGACCAACATTTACAACGAAAGGCATGATTTGAAATAAATTTTGGTTTTGGAGCCGGGCTCCTTTTAATGTTTCTTCAGGGCAAAGGTCTGGATCTATTGTCCCACAGGGCTCTGTGAGTGAGGTTCCTCTGGTTTCCCACACTTTGTCCTTTCACCGCTTTCACTGGAGGAACAAAAGAAGTGTGTCGTATGATGCATGCCATTAGTGTCTGAATTCTTTAAGGAGGGAAATGGTTCACCTTTAACTTTTTGTCTTTGAATTAGAAATTGTTCTAAAGAAGTCTGATGACTAAGCTTTCTTCATGTAACCATATTGACATAAAACTGGTAAACCCAGCACTATTTTTTTTTTAATTCAAATTCATAAAAACCTATCATAGTTAGCTTTACACTAAACAGTTATGTTATGGATAAATAATTAGACTGTGTTCTGAATTGATGAAAAATAATGGAGGCATCAAACAATTCAGAAAATGTAGAAAATTCTCTCTTTTAAAATAGTAAAGAGGGTAGTTAGGATATGCAATTATTAAAATACTGTGTTTTGGAAAATGGATTCTCTTGGGAGTTAAAATTATTGACATTCCCATGATGCATTGAAAAGTTATTTCAGAAAACTTGAGAACAACAATCATTTTGCTGTCCAGATGTAGCACAGTCTTCTGACATGTCTTTTCTAGTCATTGTGAGAAGAAAGTTCTCAGTTGGTCTCACTTTCCCACACTGACTCCCTGAATGCTGTGGTCAATGAACAACAAAATGACTTTGAATGGAGCTTTTGTGACTGACACTGGACGTGTGTTGTAGTAGAAACAGAGCCTGACGGCACCGACCATCTGGAGGGAAAGAACACCATTGGCTGCTTCTGACTGCAAAGTTTGAAAGTACAAAGAAACTGTTATTATAAAAATTTAACTCGGTTGATTTGCAATAATATTAGTGAACTTCCAATCATTGTCACACATTTTGACTAACCAATCCTAACTGTTCCTTTCTATCAGTAACTGGATAAACTTTCAGCTCTATGGATGAGGGTGGGAGGTTGAGGCAGCTGTTTCATGAAGTGTGCCAAATTCCTTTGGAGAATAGTCTGCTGCTGGTGGGGTTGAGGATGCTAATCGTGTTAAACTCTGTTATGCAGAGTTTACTCACACTCTTTACATTAAAAGAAGTTTAGACGTCTTTCTAAATCCGAATACATCTTTTTCAGAATTCTCTCTCTTTTTCAAGTCAAGGTCAAGGTTACTTTATTTGTAGATTTGGTTTGCAGTAAAATACATTGCATCCCTCTAGACAAAAATACAAAATCAACAAACAACTCAGACAGTAGACAAACGTGACACAAACCAAAATCTAATATCCTACTCTAGAAATTCTGAAAAACAGTACATTTTCACAAATTATGTAACAGCAATTTGATTTGCAAACCCCCAATATATGTCACTTTGGCGAAGGGGATTTTTTTACTAGGAAAAATGAATACTGATTATGATTTGAAACATGTTGCTTTTCACTGCTTCCACTGGAGGAACAATAGAAGTGTCTCTTATTATGCATCTAAGATACAATGTCTGACCTCTTTAAAGAGTGAAATGGTTAACTTTAAACTTTTTACATTCAAATGCCTGAAATCAACAGTAAGACCAGAATAATTGTGCAGCAAAACCATCTCTGAAATGGGCTTTGTCTGATTTACTTTCATGATTCGACTCAATCGAACCACAATGCTTTGCTGGGTTTAACTCTAAACAGGTATGTAACAAATTAATAATTACTGTATGTGCTAAATTTGACCTTGATTTGTCAATCCAATGTGTGAATATTAATGGAGGCCTCTTTTAATTAAGTGACAAAGAAACAGAAATGTAAAGTTTCTCTCCCTCATTATATAATACAGAAGGTAATGACACACAATGACATGAGAACACAAGATATTCAGCTGGCAGTGTTTGTTTATTCGACAAGGCACAATGAGCCACACAAAGTAAGAAAGCTCCAACTAGAGGTGATGATACATCACAACAACAACTTGTAGATTTCTACAAGACACACTGTACTCAGAGAGAGTAAAGGAACAGCTGTCTTTATAAAAGACAAACGATTTACAATATTTGAGGACACAGTACTCACTGTCCTTTGAGAGTTTCTTCACAAATGGATCAAAACATTTTCACTTTGCAAACAAAATGAAAAATAGTAAAAACTGATCTTGAAACAGATCACATCATTCTTATAACCATTAGATTCAACTGAATTTCAAAATATAAAACTTGTATTGTCACTGGAAAACTGTGACAGTGTGAAATTAAACAAACCTTTAACAGTAAAAAGATAAACATATTGATCTTAAAACAGATCATTGTTCAACAATCACAT